TAGGCTCTCATCCATAGTACAAGCTATAGACCTGAAACTTTGCAGTTATGTAGTACCTCATATGTACAACAATCTACCAAAGTTTCAGCGAATTTGCTTTTGTAGAATGCGAGAACGATGAATTCTTAAAATCGTTTCAGAACTTCTGGAACACCCTTTATATAAGAAGTGTGAAGCATAGCTTGATTTTACATGAAACCGATAAAATTAGGTAACAATCGAAAATAATTTAATTTTTCGAATTGTATTAACCAGGGATGTACAGGGTTGGCTATAAATAGCACTAAAATAAGAAAAAAAAAGAAATATTTCGACACCAGCTGAATCAAATGGGCTGATTCTTTGGTTAGTGGTAGAAGTTTATTCGAGGCGTTTTTTTTATACCGATAAGGTAAACAGTTACTATTACTATTAAGTATTATTGTTGAAATCTTGAAAATAATTTTACCTGTCATCAAATACGTAAAATACATGTGTAACGTTTCATATAAAAGAATAATAATAAGAAATTAAAACGAATTATATTGTTGCACATAGAGGAAACTTTCAGAACTAGTTTGTTTCAAAGTCAGCGATTCAGCAATTTCGAATTTTCAAACATGGAACATTAGTTTTTGCAAGAAAGTTGGTGCTTAATAGGCTGCAGTAATGCGCTTTACTTGTCGAGCGCAAATGTCAGCATTGAAATTGACTTTACTTATGAAACACTTCATATACATTTTTCTTAATACTTGATAATAGGCGTAAATAAATTTGTACCGCTAACAAAAAATTCAATGTCTTCGGGCGACTCGAAACGGAGATATTTTAATTTATTATCTTAGTACTATTTGTAGCTCATTGAGTACATTCTGATTACTTATAACTTCGGGTACAAACTAATGTGGTTTTTAAAATGTTTCCAGTAGGACATTAATAAATATTACGTAACAATATTTGAGACAAGTTAAGCACTCTGAAACGAACGAAGTCTTGAGAAAAATAAAATTCATATAGATTGCCCAATATATAGTTTTATAAAGAATTGATTACTTTACAACGTGCACCACTAGACGCAAGCTGTTCCTTTTCTTTTTAATCTGACAAAATGCGAAATAGAAAACGGTGAGAAATCTCTTTTTGAGTGAAAAAGATTCTAGTTTTACCAGTAAGCATGCTTTTTCATTTTTCTTATAATGACCTCTTATAGTTCAAATATTTACACAGTTTTTGACATAACTACATTCATATTATAGAACGTTTTAATATAAAATCAAATAAACAGGTGAGTCATTTTCTGTTTGTCATCAATGATATATGAAGTATATCATCGATCTCCATTACGTTTACATCGAATATTTCTAAATCATATGAAATTTCTAGAGTCTATGCACTGTATTAACCTAGTCTTATACGAAAGATCAGTTTTCTAAATTTCATTAGCAAAATAACTATATAAAAAGGATGATATGTGGTATGCTTTTGTATATACTCTTTTAAATCAAACGTATAAAGTATTAACTATATTTACATACGATATATATATTTTGACTGTTTCTAAATCTCACTATCTCTTAGCTATAACATATTATGTCTTTCTTAATATGTTGATTTTAGGATTATGTCACTAATATGACACACTCCCTAAGCAAAAATATGAACTCGAAGGCTAAAAATAATGTTTGAAAAATTTTAATTCATGAGCACGGGTCGTATATAGAGTTCTGAAGCAAATCGATTGCTCTACACAGTGCACGTCAGATTTGAGCTGTCGTTTTTGTAACTTGACTAAATGCAAAACAAAGAAAAATAATAAAAGATCTTACCGTTTTTTTAATATATAAAAAGGAAAATATGTCAATCTCAGCTTTACAAATATATGTTTTAATCCTGTCAGAAGCTCTTCTAGTATTATAACTTCGCACATTTATAAAATTTTCTAGATATTTATGTTTATTCGATACTATATTTAGATTATAATTCAATATAAATCTAAATAAATATGAATTGTTAATGTTGAGATATCTATGTCAATATATAGTGTACTATATATGTCATAATTTGTTTGTCGATCTATGAACTTCTTTCTTTCAGACTATTTCGATCTTTTTCTAGTTTATACTTACATACGTCTAGTGATACTTAATATTCAAGTATTATTGTTGAAGAAACATTATTCTTAGCTTCGTACTGAAGTTTCTTGTTAATTAATAAATATGAATATGTTTATATTTACGTTAGAGATAAGCTAGTTCCGGCAGTTGAAAGTTTATGAAGATCAGAAATAGACTGATTGAAAGTCAGCAGTGGATTAGAATTTTTTCTGTTGATAACGTTCTAAACAATTCTGATAGATGCAGAATTTAATTTTCTGTCGACTTATAATGTTTTTCGATGGTGTGATTGAGCAAAAGATGAGGGTTTCAGGAACAATACTAAGCGTTTGAAATGTCTTTGTCAAAAAATTGATTAAGAGATATCGAAATAATTAATGATTGAATTTATTTTTGAATTCTAGTTCTATATTTCTTAAAGAATCTTGTTAAGCAGACTCAGTTATCTCCGAATCTGTACCGTGGACAGAAAAATTGAACTAGATATAAAAATCTGAGTTTATTATCATACTAAGAGTGTGGATATGTATCTGGCTGCGGTTAAAGTTTATCCTATAATATGAACGTAGTTATGTCAAAAATTACATATATATTTGAGCTAAAAGAGGACATTTTGAAAAGAACAGAATGCATATGTACAAATCAAATTAGCATCTTTTTCTCTTAAGAAGAAATTTTTTTATCGTTCTCCATTTCACATTTTGTCAAATCAAAAAAAGTGAGAGTTCATGTCTAGTATTGCATGTTGTCAAGCAATCAATTCTCTATACAATCACTATATAGGTTTTTGTTCATGAATTTTATTTTTCTCAATCCCTTATGTGTTTAAGAGTACATAACTTGTTTCGGAGAATATTCCTTCACATTTATTAATGCACCCCTGAAAATATTATAAAAACGATAGTACATTGTATCAAAGATCACGAACAAAAAAGAACGAAAAAAATTGGACAATTTTTGATTGTATCCTAATTTTGTCGGTTCTACTTGAAATCAAACTATATGCTCATTGATGATATATAAGAAACAACTGTAATGACTAAATTTATATCAATAAGATCTACAGACTGTAACAGTTCCATACGATCTAGAAATATTTGTGTATTTTGTGGTGAAGATCCTATAGAATACTCTTGGTAATAATAATTCTTGTTTAGATCTTTTCGGATTGACAATTAACTCCTTCATAACGAGGTTACTTTAAAAGAGAAATAAACTGTTCCTGAAAATTTGTACCTATGAGTCATATTAATGAAGGAAAAAATATTCATCTTGGAAGAAGTACGTAATAAAATGAAGTATTTAAGATCTTAAAGCCTAGGCCGCTTTCCATTATAATAGTTTTCAATTGATTTATGGAAAGAAAATCCAATTTATCTTTTTTTTCTTACTTAAACCACGACAAATCAGCTTATTGTCATAGACTAGACAATAATCTAGTTAAGATTTAGAATTATTTTTCATATGAAATTATCTACTACAATATCTCCTTTAATGTATGAACCTTATAGTTAGTACTGACTTTAATGAAATACTTTATAAGAAAGCATCATTGATACATTCATTGCAAGATTATCTATATAAGATCATAATTAATACTAAAAAAAAGAGCTCATTTTATAATAGATCTATTAATAAAAGAAAAGAAAAATAACAACAAAATATTAGTAACACTTAATCATCTTTTAATAAAAACTTACTTAGTATTGATTTGTACTACACGATTGGAAATTTTTCATTGATTTCCTATGTCGGCATTCAGTAAATATGCACTAGATTTTCCGAGTAAATTTTGTGTATATTTCCATAGATTTATCAGTCCAAAATATTCCATTGATGTTTTCTAGAATCAATTTAAACAAATAAGCATGCAGAAAAGAGAAAAAAAACTCAAATGAATGAAAAAGAGAAGACAAACGGAAATCGACAATTCTACAATACAAATAATGTAACCCTTTAAACACCTACATATTTTGTTTGTCCCTAATGAATAGTTACATACAAAAGAATAGAAAAAAAATTAGCAAATCTAAAAAAAGAAAGTAAACAAAAACATTTATGAATGTTTATATTTGTCCCGTTGTCTTTTTTTTTCTTCGTCTATGTGAAAACTAAATATTTGTTAAGATCGACAAATGATTTTTTCATTTTTTTAATAAAAATGAATTAATGATTGTTCTTTAAAATTTCAGTATTCGATATTTAGTTTTATCCTACTCAGTAGAGAAAGATTTGATTTTTTTCATAATTATATTCAATGATTTGTAAAGTAATATAATCATATTGAAGTAACAAGCTTTGTCACAATCTACTTATTTCAGTTTATTCTACATGTGTATTCAACAGATTGAATAATGAAATACTTCAAAAACTTATATGTCATTAACCATAGAAAACTCTTAAGCAAAATGTAAAATATAAAACACTTTTCATAGATATTAACCTCATTTGTTTAGTTCAGAGTCTAGGCCCGTTTTTCTATTGGTTTTAGTATTATATTCACTACTTTCTCATTCAACAAGTACGGCAAGTCTTTTTTTCTCTTCCTATTCTCATGTCATTTCTCTCTCGGTACGACTTTATAGACAATCATAGGATACTATGTGAATTTTATTCAATGAACATAATGTCATAAATTAATTAATATGATTTTATTGATTGTCATTCAATTTTTTGTTTACTTATGAGTTATATTGGCCAATTTCTTATTGGCAAAGAATAATAATAATAACAACAACAACAACAACTAAGTACACATTCTTCGGTTGATACTCATGTTTTCACTTAGTATAGAGAATATGTCAGAGATTAATCTGGCTAATATAAAAAATCAATATTCAAACAATAGTATAACTAATTTAGTACCAGATTTTGAATTTACAACATTAACATACAAAATTAGTTTGGGTTTTATTTTTATTTGTCTTTGTTTCTTAACAATAACTGGCAATCTTCTCGTACTCGTTACATTTCGTCGTATGCGGACAGTGAGTATTAGAATATTTAGCATCATAAGTATATATATTGCTATGAAAAAGAAATAATCATAACAGATTTCAATAATCGAAATGTGATATTAATAATGATTTGTAAGTTAAGAAATGATAATAATGATATTTAATAAACTAAGTAGTTATATATTAGTTTCTTAATTGTGTTATATATAAGAATACTAATAATAAAATAGATTCACTGAAATACAACCAATGGAAACGCTAATGATTTCTAAATATATTCATTATTATTTGAATTTAGTGTAGAAGATGTTTTTATTAGAGCATAAGTGAAAAATTTTAAGAAATCTCTTATGTATATACATATATTTGTTGTATAGATGAATATTTTATATCTATTTATAACTTTATCTAGGTAGGCAATCTGTTCATATTGAGTCTTGCTACCGCTGATCTAATTGTTGGCTGCTTTGTCATGCCGATTGCTGGAATATATGCTATTATGGAAAAATGGAGTATGGGTATGTTATTTTCTTCTCTTTTGTTGCTTAATACAATTAGAGATCATGCCTATATTTTACAAGTCATTTCTCTAATTAAATAAAATAGACAATCTGTAATTATAATAGACGGAATTCACAAGTTACTGAATTCAAGATAAAAGCATATTGTAACATTGTATGATAAAATGTATTTGTCAACTTATAATATAAAAAAAAAACAACAAACAAGTGTCCTGCATGTTGTTTAAATCAATAAATAAAAAGAAAACATTGTTTTTTTTTCGAACAAATGATCCAAATCAGTTTAAATTCTTTCTTTAAACTTAAGAAATAAATGAAGTACAGAATGATTATCGTGTTATATCGACTAAGAAGTATAAAAGAAACAAGATCAAATAAACTATTACATACAGTAGATATTGTTTGTTAGACAAGAATCATCTGGAAGGATGTATATTTTAATTTTCAAAGAAAAAAAAAAGTTAATTAAGTATCTAAAAATAGACCTAAAAAATGCTAATTCGAGTGAGGTCAAATACTTTATATACACTATAAATAGTAATACGTTAAACTATATTTCTTCTCTTGATTTAGGTCTTTTTCTATGTCAGATTTGGCTTTCAGTTGATTTTACTGCTTCAACAGCATCAATATTTAATTTGCTCACATTAAGTTTAGATCGTTATTGGTCAATAACATCTCCACTCCAATATCTTGGTAAACGAACACGACCACGAGCTTTATTATTAATTGGTTTTGCTTGGGGTTTATCACTTCTATGGGTTATACCTATATTTGGTTGGCATCGTTTTGTTAATAATGGTACAAGAAATATCGAGGTAAGCATTAAATTATATATATATAAATTTATTTTGAGAAAAAAAAACTCTTATCTTAAATCTAGTCTACAAAATGTGAACCTGAATATACACATTCAAAAGTATTTAAAGTATCAACAGCTATAATTAATTTTTATTTACCACTTTTTGTTTTAATATCATTAAATGCTCGTATTTATTATGAAATAAAGCGACGTTATAAAAGTGTTCTTTTACAAAGACATTCAAATCAAATAAATGAAATCTCAAGTACTCATAGATTAAATCCACCAACAAGACATACTCGTACACCAGTAACTATGACAATATGTGATAGTGATAAACAATTATGTTCAACATCAATAAATTTAGCTGAAAATGATAGTTTAATTACATCAAAACGTACACCTATTCAAAATGAAAATAATTCAACATTACGTATTAATTTTAAAGAGAAAAAAAATCGATCTATTATACCAAATCAAATTCCAATTAGTCGACGATCATCTTTAAAACGTGCATATTCAGTTGTTGAAACAAGTCCTTATACACAGGTAACTAAAATATCATCGAAAAAAAAAACATTCTTTTCTTTTTATCTAGGATCGATATACATGGTGTACTAATCATCTTGAACATTCAGGTTCATCATTAAAACCAACATCACCATTAAAATTACGTCCATATCGTTCGAGTTCAAAACATCGTCTTAATGTTGATGAACGTTGTTTAAGACATACACATGATTATCATTCATGTCGAATTTATTCTAATGAACAATTCGGAATAATACATAAACGTCCTAATGATTCATATAATTATCATAGAACACAATGTCGTCCATCATCTCGTATTATAACAAATCGAACAACATTTGTATGTCGACGTTGTTCATTATCAGATACATTAAGAGCATCAACAACAATGAATATATTTAATTTATGTCATTGTTGTTCAGCAGCTACATCTGCTATAACTATTCATTCAAATCTAGAACCTTATAATAATACCACAAAACTATCATCCTCATCAATATCATCATTAACAAGTCGAAAACCGAATGCAATGTCTTCTTATAATTTAGAAAGAAATAGTACATCATCAAATGTATTACTTCATCCGAATTCTAATTTCAATCGTCGTACATCAAACAAAGTAAAACAATCAACTATATGGAATCAACAGGAAAAAGCATTTCGACAATTATTTGCCATTGTATTTGGTTTCACATGTTGTTTTTTACCATATTTTATTTTATATATGGTTGTTGCTTTTTGTGGTTCATGTGTATCTGAACGCATTGTGACAGCAACAATATGGCTTGGTTATGTTAATTCCACAATAAATCCATTTTTATATGCTTTATCAAATAAACATTTTCGACGAACATTTAATCGTATTTTAAAACGAGATCATCGACGACAATCATATTATAATTAAATATATAAAACAAATCAAAATGAAAAACCAAATGTTAAATATTCCTTTTCTTGTTTAATTATATTTTAATTGGATAAACAAAATTAATTGTAAAGAGATAATAATTGCCACATGGAAAAAAGGATGAAATTATTCTAAGCAAGTGAATTCGAATTATAAAAAGAAAAAAAGAATATGAACTTCTATTATTTTTATTGCTTGAATACACATGTTCTTGAAAAATGTATCATATTCTATTTAAAATCATCCAGATATTTTCTCAATTATTTGCATATGAAAAAGTATATTGGATTTATAGGTTAAAGAGTAAAATGCTTTCATAAATAAAATTGGTTTCTTTTTCTGCTAATACTTTTCAATTTCTTTTTTAATATACATAGTTAGTTTTTATTTTGACGTTAATATTTATTAAACAGGTTTGTTGTTTAGATTATAGATCAAGAGTTCATTATCTATCAAAAAAAAACAAGTCATTGAAAATCTTATTAAATAAAATCAATAGAAATTGGTCTACTTATATAAATGCACTTTAATATGAAAATAAATCTATTCACTCAATATATAGACAAATAAACATAAACGGATGTTTAATCAAATAAAAAAATAAATGCAATGTTTTCCTATGATGAACATTTAATTCGTTATACAAAGTGCATGTACATAATGAGAGTAACATCAAGTAAAAACATCTTTATCATTTAAAACATTTTCTATTCAACATAAACAATGTAAATGTTTATTTTCTAAGTTGTTTTTTTTGTTTATTGTTGAAAACAAAAAAATGTTTAATTTTGTTGAAAATATTCATTTGGTGACCAATGATTAAGTCCAGTAATAATCCAACTATCATCTTGAGCATTTTTACTCATATTACGTAAAAATTTATAATTACAAATGATAATATTATCACGCATCTTTTTTACTGTTAATAACCAATTTGAAAAAGCACTACCAGATCCTTCAAACATTTCTTCTCGATATGATTCAGGATTTTTCAGAATATGAAAAATCATTGTTATTTCAACCATACGTGTTTCTAGAAATTTATTAAATTTCTTTATTTAAAAAGGAATAATTTAATTCTATTTTCTTTTATTTACTTGTTTCTTCATCCATAATAAGACCAATTAGATATGGACAAGAAAAAATAATTTCTCCTTCTTCAACAGGAATTTGTTGTTTTTGTTGAGATGATAAATGTTCATAATTTTGTTTGACTTCATTAATAACCTAGATTAGATTTCTGTTCTTTTTTCTTTTATTTTTTGTTTTCTATTTTTCTACCTCTCGTGTAACAAATCCAGAAAGATCATCAAATTGACCGTTGCCAATCAACTGTGAAACAACAGTTAATGCTTGTCGAGCACCATCACAAAATGGTTTTATAGCAAATGTTGAATCAAAATGTCCATTAATAATTGCACGAGAAAAGAAATTTTTAATGATGAAAAATATATTTGGATAAGCTATACGTGGAAGATTCATAAGCATTAATGGACGATAATGTTGATGATGATGATCAGAAGAAATAGGACGAATATAAACTAATGAACAACGTTTCAATGAGGAAGATTGACGAAGAGACATCATAAGTAACGATCGACATAATATTGAAGCCATTCTGATTTTAAATACAATTTTAAAAAAGAAAATGATGAAGTGTAAAAATAAATTAATAGATTGACAGGATTTAGATCGAATCCAATCGAAATGTCTGTCTTGAACCTTCATCAACAGATGGCGTACTCTGATAAGAGGAGCTTTTTATATTTTTTACAATAAGGACTATACGAAAAATGATCTTAACTCTTACAGAGATCAATTTGACAAGGTGTTATTCATACAGATGATGACAATAATTCGTATATGTTTGAACTCTGAAATTGCTTTAAGCTGATTTCTATGTAACAGAGATGTATTTTGTAAAACTTTAGATACCCTGAAAAACTCGGCTTGTAGACCATTTGTTTCGCCGGATTATTATTGAGAAGCTAGCATTAGTGATGTAACACAAACAAGAACAAAGGTTTTCACTGTGCGCATTCCAATTTCCAAGTGCTACAAGTTCAAACAGTAGTTTTGAGAACTTAATATTGCACGTTTTGCAAATCACTTTTTATGCTAAAAGATTTCTACAAAAAATTTTTCCTGAACATGCTTAAGATTTTCGGAAAAAAAATTGAGTTTATTTGTTGTTAGCGACGTAAATCAGTACGAATATTGATACGAAAAATCCTTTTATAACTGAATGAGAAATTTAGAAACCATTTCTAAATGGTACAAATCCTTATTGGAGATAATTGTAAGATAAAATATGTTGTTCTGGGACATGAACAGACTTCCGAAAAACCAAGTTTTATGAAGCAATTTTTTCACGTTCCGATCTTGCTGAAAATTTCAATATAGAAATAGTTCATGAGGTGAAGTCTATTCTGAAATTTTTGAACTTGCTCGTGATAAGATTAAAACTTATTCAGAGAAATAATCGTTATAAACAATCAAAATCAAATGAAAGATGGACAAGTCCATATTTTTGTTTGAAATGGTTCGTATAGCAAAACCTAATTAATAATTCTTCTAGACAAAAGTCATTAATATTGATGATTTGTCTGAGCACAGTTATCCATGGATAAACTATTCATCAATTGGATGACATAAAGCGATATCATAAGAATTCTTCTATCAATTTTAAACTAAGGCAATAGTTACATTTTGTAGACATTCTCGTCATTGAAATGAATCATAAAGAATATGTCTTATCAAGAATTTTATTGTATTTAATTAATTGAAAGAAAATTTTATTTTCCTATGAAGCTAAATTTTGTAGAAAAAGCAAGAAAATTGAAAAAGAATATCGGGGATGTGGCGAAGAGAAAAAAGTGGGGGGTGCAAGAAAATTTTTTTCAAAAGTTAAGGGTGTATTCAGAAAATTTTTGAACGTGAGAGGATGCATTTACAAAATTTTAAAAAGTGGAGGGGTGCAGAACCTTATTTTTCCATCTTATGATCTTTTTTTTCAGTAAAAACACAGATTTTTGCTGGGGAAAAGCGATAATTTTCTAAAAGTGGGGGGGGAGGGCGCACCCCCCTGCACCCCGTGGTCGCCACATCCCTGAAGAATATAACAAACCATAGTTTACAATTAATTAAACCTCTAGCTATAAAAGCATTCATTCGTACATAACATTTAACAGCTGTTGTCCATATAGTATAACCTTGTTTATTCATATGTAAATTATTTGATATTAATAATTCTTCTCGAGGTGTATCATCTGGTGTTAACATTTAATTAAAAATATCAATATAATCAACATTATTCATATTGATTTGAATAATTTTATTATATTGACTTAGACTTAATTTTATTGAAATATACACAAGGGATAATGATGGAAAAACTCAATCAATTCTTAAAATAAATTGACAAAAAATTCATTGTATACTTGCCGATATTTGATATTCTGTAATATCATTTTCACCAGCATAAAAGGAATTAATGAAGCATGGTCTTAATAGTAAAATAATACCTTTAAATTATTGTCAACATTGTTTAAGTGTTAATCCATCGAAATCTCGATTAATAACATTAATTTAATTATCAGAAAAATCTGTTGTTAATGTTGACTAGAAACGTATTAATAAACTTCCATTAAAAAAAAACAATCAATTGTGATTTTATGTTTATTAATGATTTATCAAATTTTACTAATTCATTTTTATATAATGTGTTAGAGAGTATTTTATATACCAGTAAAAAAATTATTATAAAAAAAAATGTTTGACTAAGTTGTTTCGAATAATTTCATTAGTTATTATTTCATTCAGATATACACCATAAACCATGAAATTTAACTGATGTTTGTGTATATGATTTTATTTTATGAAACAAAATAAAATTTATTTAAAAGTTTCATTAATTAGAAAAATAAAAACACTTCGATGCATTGTCTTTTCTTCAATAATTATTTACATAATTAAATTTCTTTTATTTAATAGAAATCATATTTATGCTTTGAAATGCAAAAATTAGTATATTTTTTTCAGTAAATTCTGCATTTTATGTAAAGTTGATTTACTCTTGATAGATATTTTTTTCCTTTATGTGCAAAATACATTCTGTGTATTATATAGTATTCTTTCATTCAAATATATTGTGGGTGAATAGTACTCATACTAAAAACAATATTAATTGATACAAAAACAAAAACACGTGTAATCAGCATATGAAGGATATTGCATAAGTTTCGATCAAATTTTTTTTTCTATCTTGATCGTACTTGAAGAGTACGACGCAAGCTATCATCGAAGAGAAATTGGGCTCAATATACATAAACTGAAAGAAGATACTAAACTGATAAAAATATCGAAAAAATTTTATCAAAGTTATTCTGTCGACGTGACCAAACGTTATGGAATTTTCTTTTTTTTCGTCTGTGGTAACCCGTATTCGAGGTGTCAATGGATTGAGCTGAGCGGAAGAAAGTCGACCCATGAGTTATCGATATTGGGCTCAATTCAGCTCATGGAGCATTCATCTAATTGTATTCTATAAAGTGTTAGCACACGAATGAGCAAGCATATTTCGAATACCAGTAGTTGATTTATAAATGCCACAGTTGACATGAGAATTTGGTTTAATTTAGAAGACGCGAATTAATTTTAAAAAAATTCTCTTAGAAAAAGTTTTGTAATCGAAATAAAGCATTATGAAACAAACTAATCTAATTGTTTTAGAGAAGAACTCACAAAATAAAATCACATTAAATGTTACAAATAAAAATGTTAATGTTTTCTCTTATACGCTGTTATCAAAAAATTCGATCCAAAATTTGTCAAGAATGATTATGCATCATATATCATCGATGGTATACAACCATTCATTATAGTCTAATACCATAATTATAAGGCACACATGTCAAGTAATTAATTATTCTTTTTTTAAAATCTCACATTATCTTTTATTACAGAAATCTTCAAATACGGTCAAGATACAAAGAATAAGATTAAGACACCCTTTAATCCAAAGATAGTGTTGACTAATTCTTTTCGATGAACCAGGCCAATACCATTTATCATTTCTAGCCTAGTTAGACTGTGTTAATTAACTCCTTGTACAACCATATGTTCTCCCAATAGCACTATTCTTTAGGAAGTAGCAAAGTTTACAAATAAAGAATAAACATATAGTCTTGTGATTCTCCTTTCTAATTCTTTATTTTCTATGTAACCGGCTTAGAGTTCATAAGGTTAAACACACAGACTGGATGGGCCCTTGACCGATTTCATTTGCTATGTTTTGTTATTTGTTTTCTTTTTCGTTTCTGTCTATCGATTTATCATTGTTTCTTGTAAGCACTTACGAATGTTACAGTGAAATAGAGCATAAATCAAAAACTCCCATAATTCAACTAAGCAAGTATATGTCTGTCAAATATCGTGATTAAATGATAATAAGGTAATTCTAGAAAAGAAAAATAAACGATCATATTTCTAACGAATTATATTGACTTTCATCCATGAAAGAAAAATAATTGCAAAATATGGCAGGAGGAACATTGTTTACATAAGGATATACAAGCTATTTCCCTTCATTATCAAAGTTATCATGACACAGTCCATAGATATATATAGTCCTTCTTGCGGTATTATATATAATTACATTGTCAACGTCTTGTTTTTTGCTAACTTGTATGATATTTATCGTTCTTAACTGTCAATATGTAGTCTTGTTATACTAGTATGCAAATAGCCAATTAACAAAAATGAAATGTAGAGTAAAAAGAATAATCAAATTGATTAAAAAATCAAAATTTTTAATTAATTATGTTTTTGTATTTATTATCAAACCTTAAATTATTACTCACTATTGATATATTCTCATTATATTCTATTGCACTCAAAAATAATTGATATGAATCACCTTAGGTTAATTTTATGTCCTTGTATCTTTTTTTTTTATCTTCAAGTAACTATTAACTATTTCATGTAAAAGATTTATTCATCACATTCTATTTAGGAACAGCTGTAACGCAACGATCTGTACATGAACATAATGGACGACAACATTTATGTGTTGTTGGACAATTACCATCCATTTTACATAGTGGAATTAATTCTTCAGGAAGACAAACACGACGACGACACATAATAGTAATAGGTAAATTATAAGATGGACATTTACCTTAAGAAAAATTCATAAATACAAATTTTTTTATGCATATTAATACGAACATACCTTCGTGTTCAAGAAATTCACGACGTTCTTCTGATCCAGCTTTGATCGAACCGACAACCAAAAGTACTAATAGAATGGTAATTGAAGCAGCTGATGTCATCGTAAAAAATGAATGTAATATTGAATGGCAGTTTCATTTTTCATAAGGTGTCGATATATATATACATGTATATAATATATTTATGGGAAAAATGTCATATGTTTGCGCTATACTTTGATCTTTGTGATATGTATTATTTTTCTAATATATTATTTATTTAAATTCGTAGTTTGTTAAAATATAAATTTATTTTGTTTTCATAAAAAAAAAAGAAATAGAAGAAGAAGGAGAAGAAGTAAGTGAATTATTTCAACTTTATTAAAAAAAAAGAGGTGCAAAAGTAATTATTTCATATATATATGTTTTAATACTAAAATTAAAAAAATGAGGTTTGAATTCAAATTTTATTGTTCCATTTATTGAAATATTTGTGTTATAATTGCTTTTTCTTCATTATTATTATCAATTAAACGTGTTATCATATGTTGACCTATACCCCAAGTATCAATTTTATCAGCAACTAAATTATCGCCAAGTGAATTAGTTGATTGTGAACTACGTTTTGTAAAAATACGAATTGTTTGTCTTGGTCGTAAAGAAAATGTTGTTGGAAATTGATAAATTATTTCAGGTTGTTGATCAATTTGACGACGAATTGACCAATTTCGAAATGATTGTTCACTACCACTATATCTTTCATTAACTAATATAACTGAATCATTTTCTAAATCAACTGAATCAAATGATATTGGACCTATAAATATCAAGAAAATAAAAAAAAAAAAGAAATTTCAAAAAACTAAATATTATTATTCTTTTAATTAACCTCGTGCTGTTTTTTGTACGGTCATTTTTTTTGTTTCTAAATTATTACGATTTTCATCAGAAATTTTTGAAATCGGAGATAATGATGATAAGCCTGATGATAAACTATTTGTTTGTGGTTCTTGTGATATTCTATTTAAATGTTGTTCTTCAGCATCTAATAGACCTCTATATGTTGATAATTCAAAACGAAGTGATATATTATTTTGTAAAATAGCATCAATAAGATCTTGTCTATCAGCAATTTGTTCTCGAATTACTATAAGTTCTCTATCATATGATTCTTTTTCACGTAATCGTTCATTTTGAATTTTTTCTAAATCATCAATAATAGCATCAAAGTCTGTTTGTAAATCTTTATTTAATTTTTTTAATGATAATAATTCATTTTGACCATCACGTAATGATGATGTTAAATGTGCTGTATCCATTAATTCAACAGTACCTTCACTTGCTAATAAACGTTTACGTTCATTTTCTTCTTCAATTTCTTGACGTACTTGTTCAGTTTTGATACGATAATATGTTTCTAATTCATTTGTTTGTGTTTGAAAAAGTACTTCAAAATCTCGTCGTATATCAGATATAGCATGAGCTAATTCTAGACGATAAAATGCTGATACATCAAGAATAGGTGTAGCTAAATAAAGATATAAAAAATTTATTTATTTATTTATTTATTTCATGAATATTTTTTACCAAGTGAAAGTAAATCATCTCGTTGTATTTGATAAACACAACATTGAAATGCAAGATGTTCTTTCAATGTTTGTAATTCATTTTCCATCATAATACGTTCTAATTGTTCATTATCTAATTCAGTTTTTAAACCATCTATTTCTTTAAGTAAATTATTCATAAGATTTTTAAGATTTTCTAAATCAATAAATGTTTTATCATATAAACTTTTTAATTGATCAAATCCAATATTTGATGCTTCTAATTCTTGTTTAAGTATATTTAATTTGTATGTATCATAACCACCATCAATTGATGTTATTTGTTCTTGAATATTCCATATATCATAATCATGTCGTTTTAATTGAAGTTCTTGAAATGCTTGATCACGTATAGCATGATCAAGTGCAAGACGAAGTGCTTGTAATTGTGGACCATAAGCAGCTTGTAATTGACTCATATCTCCACCCCATTCTTGTTTTAAATTTTGTAAATCAGCAGATAATCTTTGATTATAATCTTCTAAATATTGAACACGATCCAAATAAATAGCAAATTTAGCATTTAAATCTTGTAATTCACGTTGTTCATCATCATGTTGTCTAGCTATAGCTGTTATAGCAGCAGCAGTTGACGAAGGACCCTTTACTGTATTACTATCACCTACTTGTCTTACACCACGTTCGACTAATGTTCGACGAATTACAGTTGAATCATCGAATTGTTGCGGTTTTGTAGATGAATTTCCATAAGTATTAGGAGTTCGAGTTTCATTTCTTTCGGAACTACTACGATTAGCAATGTTTTCTCGATTTATGCTGCTCATTATTTTAATTATTTTTAGTGATAATAACACACTGATTTATACAAATGTAAGTTTATACTTTTACAAGAAACAAACCACTAATGTTATTGATGATGTAGTTTTTATACAGGCAATTATATATGTATACGAAGAAAAAAAAAATAAGAAAAAAAAATCAATGATAATATGTCTCTTGTATATATTTTTTTGCGGGGTACGAGCAAGTTATAACGCTGTTCTTCTAGCAGTTATTATTGTAATCAGCTGAAATATCTTCCTTCTTCTTATTCTCTATCTATTTTTTTTTCTTTCTCTGCCTGACTGTATATAGTGATAGTCTTGTCCAATCGATAAGTTGCGTCTTTGAAATGCAAACGAGAGTGCGAGAACATTGACACAGCAATGTGGTTTATTTATATCATATATCTTTTTCTCCCGACACATACACAGTCATGCATCAATGATCTTTTCCTTTCACTATATCTTTTTATATTAGATACTTCATTAAAAAAGATAGAAAAAAAAAATATTGACTCTATTTTATCATACCGAACACAAAGACCTTACTCATCTTGATTTTATCACTTAAACAATGATTAATGTAAGAGTCATAGATGATGCAAATGCTTATCATCATCCTTGTTAAAAAAATAAAATAAAATAAAAAATGAAAGTTACACAATCTTTTTATTAACTTGAATATGTATTCAATTAGTTATTGAAATTTAAATCATCACTCTCACAAGGTCAACCAAATGGAAAATTGAAGATGTTTTGATATGATGGTGATACTGATTGATTATTTTAGATATCAACTTAGTATCAGTGGTTAACGGTAGAATTAGAGGTCAACATTGCATATATATTCTGGTAGAAAGAAAATTAATAAGTGAATTCAATCAAAAATCAACGTACTATGTTTAATGACATTTACAGCATCCGATGTCTATTTGTATTTTATTGTTAATTAAAATAATCATCCATAGGAATATGATAGTCATTAGAGTAATGTTTATACTTCCATACATATTTGGAAATGCTATGTAAGCATTTTGTCTAAATGTTCTTTAAATATGAATATGGTTTATTTATGAATTTCACATATGAAAATTTTCATCGTAGAGTTTATTAGCTATGATTCTTTAGAATTGATCTAATTTGATATAGAAAACTCGATTGAAGGTCAAATACAAATTCATGAATTTCTACAAACAAAAAATCAACTATTATAATCTTGTTTCCATCTATGGATAGAAATCAGGACAAAATAACCTTAATTTAGATGATTATCATATTTGGCATCTGATCAATGGTTGATCTTAATTGCTCTACTATAGTTTTCTTTTATGCTTCTCATATTACTAAACAACTAGTCTATAACATTCATGATAACAGCCAATCAAAGTCAAAAATAATAGAACAATTTAGACTGAAGACAAATTGGAAACTGTATATTTTGTAAGAATGTTGTCCCAGTAATGATACGATTCACAGCTCATCTATTATGAAAAAAAAATCGTTTTTTTTTTCGATACATAAAATTTATGTTTTCTGTTTAACAAAAAATTGTAACAGACTCATCATGGTAAACAATAATCGTTTTGTTTCGTAAATAGTTTCTATATAAGAGGCTTGCAAATTTCACCATTTTCGTGAGTTAATACAGAACATTCTATATTCTATACTCTGCTTGAAGAAATATTTATTCAATGATTAACTAATTTCTACATTGAACTTTCCATGTATTAAACGCAATTCAAACTAGAATATAATTTTGATGGTTAGTTTTAATTGTCAAATATTTTTATTGAAAGAAGAAAAAAAAAACTCATTAATTAAATACGAAAATAATATTAACTTGAAGTAAAACAAAATTGAAAATGAAAGAAAAAAAAAACAAATAATATTAGGAAAACAATTATTTGAAATTCAAATTATATTCTCGATAAGCAATATCAAGCATCATTGTATACCGAAATAGAAATTGTCAAAAGAAAGAAAAGTCATGATTTATAGATACTAATACAAAAAAAAAAAAAGAACGTTTAATCAAGGTAGAAATATTGATCGATTTCTTTTATGAAACATTTTCTTGATCATACATTAAATATTCTATTCAATATCATGTCAACATTTATAAGCACATGACATGTATCGTTGAAGAATAGAAATCTATCTACTATCTAATCAAGCAATAATCAGTTGACATCACCTTTTGTTTTGTTTAGAATATTGTTTTTTTATGTCTTTTCTATTCTGTAATATAAAAATTGTCAATGATAAATATTTATTTCATATCTATCATACATATAAATTATTCGAAGTGATGCTTTCTTCTTATTGTATTTCTATTGATCATACACGTGACTATTGATAGCTGCCCATCGAATAACAATAACTACCTGTATTTCATATTCATCGTTTTTATACAAAGAATACATTGCGTGTCTGTGCATCGAATCAAATAATTTAGCATAAAACAAAAATGTCTCCAAGTAAGTTTAAAAAAACAATAAATCAAAAATTTAATTATGTTGTAAATTCAATAGTCGATGCAAAAAGTCCACTGACCAGATAAAAATTATCTAGATTTTAATTTTTTTTTATCCGATAATTTTACTACGAACAGAGCTCGATAAACTTTGATCACAAGTATTAATCCGAGGTCGATTGACTTTAATGTATTGAATTTAGAATAGGAATATTACTTTTTTGATTCGCGAAATGTTAATACCATTCATTTATCGATGATGAAAATTCCATATGTCTTTACTATATCACAAATAGGAGATTTCAATCTGTTTTGATCCAGAGTCGTAGCGATATTTCTATTATCTAGAAGAATCTTCGCATGAATCTTCATTCTATTAATGGTCATAATCATGAAATATGCAGAGAATACCTGATGAGAATAAAGAATTTACTGAAGAAAAATTCATGATTAACGATTGATAATTATCAGAATTACAAGTTGCTTTTAGAAGAATTCTATCAATTCTCATGATAAGAATATCCAAAGATAACTTCATAAATCATATAGACTATAATCATTTTGTATGAAATTTTTATGGATGATAGAGATAGCAATGAGTTCTCTCATGAGAAGTCGAACGCTGTGAGATTTGATATCAATCCAGAATTATTCTTATCTACAGAAAAAAATTTATGTCGACCTTCTAACTCCTACGTATGAAGACCAATTAGAATTCATCATGTTTTTTTTATGGTTTAAAATATGAGATCAAAAGATTCATGTTTAGATAATTTTTATTCTATAGTCAGATTTTTGATGGCTACTATGTATGATTTCTTTTTAAGTAACCAAATGTTTTCAATCACTCATACATACACTTGGTTCAAAATCTTTTCGTATATTTGTTATGTTTGTTCTTACAATTGCAACGGCTAGTTTTGAAATAGTTTATGGTGTTCGTACAAATTCGAATTCTTTAATAGCTGATGGATTATATTCATTTGCTGAAGGTCTTTGTTTAATTGGTGTTCTTGTAGTTCTTCATTATTCATGTGATAGAAAACATCATGATAAAAGAAATACATTTGGTTATGAACGATTAGAATTATTATTTGGTCTTATACAAGAAGTATTTCTTTTATCAATATCACTGGGTATTATAGTTGATGCTGTTAATCATTTAATTAATCCTATACATGTACATCATCCAAAAGTAATAATTATTCTCGGCATAAGTGGTATGTTTATTGGTCTACTTGGTATAACTATGTTTTGGGGTTATCATCATGATCATAATATACAAGAAGAAATAGCCGAAAAGAAAAGACGAGAATTTTTATCATGGACAAAAACGCATGTGAAAGCTAAACGTAAAAAATCTGCAGGATCTCGTCAAAATACAATTGTTGAAGATCCATTAATGACTGAACAACAAAATGATAAAGTAATTTATCAATTGAACAAAACTGTTAGTACTGAAACGAATACTGTAGATGTGAATCAAGAGCCATCGTTTCTCGATACCTTCACCTATGAAAATGTTGACATGGAAGACTCAAGAATCTATGCTACTTTACATGCTCTATGTTTACATTCATGGGAAAGTTTTGTGTTTTTTTTCGATAAAAAGAAAAATTTACTTTTATTTGATTTATCTTATTATTTAGGTTGTTTTATTTGAATCCATCATTGTTGTTATATCTGGTTTGATGATTCACTTTATTCCACATATAGATCCAAATACAGGAAAAGAAATCAATACTTGGTTAAAATATATTGATCCATCATTAACACTTATAATGGTTATTGTTATTGCTATTCATGCACTTCCTGTTATATTTTCTATAAGCAAAGTATTAATTGAAAATGTTCCAGGTGGTATTGATACACAAAGATTAATGAATGAAATTGTTACAGCTATACCAGCAATTAAAAGTATACATAGTTTTCATGTTTGGAGGTAAGACAAAAAAAAAAAAAACAAAGAATTATTTTTTGAAGAAAACAAAATAAAATTATATGAAAACAAAAAACTTCTTGTTTTTTTACTATTTTAGAGCAACACCTAAAGATATTTATGCAACATTACATCTTGCATGTGATGAAGATGTTGTGATAAGTACATGTACAAATAAATATGGTAAAATTATACAAAAAATTTTTAAAAGTTACTGTATTCGCTATTTTACATTACAATTTGAATATATACCATCAAGTGAATCTGATGAATTACTTGTTTATCATTGTGTTCATGGACTTCATAGAAAACGTCGTGGTCATACATTTGATGAACCTATGACAAAATTAGCTAAAGAGGCAATAGTTCATATTCAATAGAGATTATAATATTTAAATCTGTTTGGAAATAAACAAGAACAATGAACGATAGAAAAGAACATATATAGTTTTATCAGGTTTTTTTTTTGTTGTTGTCAGGAAAAGTTAAAAATCATATTTTCAAATAATAAGAATTCTTTAAAATAAATGACAAAAAATATGCATTGCAGTATAGATTACATGAAGTTTGAATCAAACAAAGCAGTTTAATTACTTGTTAATGCGGCATATAAAGAATTGAAAAAAAGAACACATCAAAATATGTCATTGTTCATATGAAATAGGAATTCATTCAAAATAAATCATCAAATCAAGTCTATATCATGTAGAACATATTCGATCACATAGAAGAAAGCTCGATGATAATACTATAAACAAACTCAACGAAGAGTGTCTACACTGATTTGACCAAATCGAAATAATCAGTCTTTTAAGATTGTTCAGTTCAAAACCCTGAAAACTAGGCATATTTTCATGTAAATATACTAATTAAAATTCCAGTTTTTTTTATTAATTAATCAATTAACCGGGGTGAGGGTAGATGAACACATATCTGTGAACATTTAGCTAATTTTCTGTTCGAAGAGAGAACAGCATCTGTATGCCCGGCAACTTTTTTCCATATTGACAAATAACTTTTAATCAATTTCATCCGGACACCTTAGCTCCTATGAGAGCTGAACGTCTAAAATCTCGTCTGCAAGTAGTCCACAAATCATGTAGATTAGCAGCACCATATAGGTCAATATCGCTCAAATTAATTAGAATGGAATCATAGTAAGTAGTGTCCATGATTAATGTGAATCTTGTGACTCGCGAATACAAGAGCTTTTTGAGTCAGCCAAACTCTCATTTTGTAGTCCCGGAGTATTGCTGTTTTGTCTTATAAATTTTATTGAAGTTCATCAAGCTATCGATGAACTGGACCATTTTTACTGAAAACATATGCATATGCAAAAAAAACTGTAGAATGCCATTGAGAGATTAATATTTTAGCAAGAGTTTGATAAATTCACTTAAAATTTTCAATTTATGCTCTTCCACAGCTAACCATATTGTCCTACAAATTTCAAAAGGAAAAATCTTACTAAACAAAAATGACATATCGATGAACATTGTGAAGACTCTGCAGTCTTCATTACTCCAACAAATGAGCTCATCTTTTGAGCAATGAAAGATCATGAGCTAAGCTATAATTGGACGGTAAACGATCGATAAACACTCATATAAAAGTTGAAAAACAGCACATAATTTTGAAACTTCATGTTTTGATATTTTTTGTTGAAGCGAGAAAAATGCCTTCGTTTGTAAATATCACATTGTGAAAATAGTTTTCCATGGCTTTCGAGTTTTAAATTGACAACTGAAATCATCTGGTTCTAGATATCAAGCGAGTTTTCGATGGAAATTTTATAGTCAATTATGATATATAAGCATACAGTTCGTATAATATTTTAGAAATCTCATATTTTTTAAGACAATGGAAGACAGTTATTTGGCATTGCCATATCGTAACATGATAGAAACATTAAATTTTCATTTTCGGTTCACCGACGTAATATTAATTCTACATATCAACGTGAATAAACACTAGAATAGTAACTGGTAACAGTAAATATCAGATCCAATAGAAAATTCTTAACTAGCAGTTAAACAATTGTTTCTCTTTCATCAACCAGTATAGAATTTTTTGAGTTTTTGTGTGATCTTTTTCAAAAAATTGATCGTAGAAAGAGTTTTTTCGCAAATCAAAAGATTGTTACTGATGCCAATGACTATTTCTACTGAATGAATATTTATCAAAAACTGCTTAATATATTTTATTAAGTCACCTTAATATAAATTTAAATTATAGGAACAAAATGGAATCATTGTTCGTCCTTGTACTTTATCATAAATTTATTTTCATTCCGTATTATTTATAACATATCTTTTGTTGAAACATAAGAGGCAACAAAATAAATCTACTATGAGATACGGAATGTATCGATGATTGATTCATAAATTCTATGTCTGACAATTATTTAATTAGTGTATCAAGCTGAAGTAGAATCTTTAACCTTATCAAGTATTCTATCCATTGATAGATACTAAGAGCAAGAAAGGTTATGGGAATAGATAGTGAAGGAAAAGCTTTCATCAGCAGTATCTCTATAGGATAAGAATATTAAGAATGATGGAGTTATATTATTCATGATGAGCAATCACATCATTTGTACGACAGATAATGATAAGACTAAAAAAATATCATGCTGAGTAACCCATTAGACTGTTACAAAGATATCAATATCTCTGTCGTGACCTGTCAGTAGGTTACAATAACACTTGTATGCTTGTAATAGTCTTTTGAACCAAGCTGTAAAAGATGAGTTAAGTTTTTTTTTGCTTTATTCGTTAAGATTTATCAATAATTCTGTTTCAGAAAAATCCTTATCTAAATTTCTGTAGTTATTCAAAGATTGATAATGTCATTCGAGAGATTACTTTGCTTGTTATTGGATGAGAAAAGTGGGAAATAATGATTCATAGAGATCTACCAGTCGCTCCGAGTCGATCTGACTCATTTAGAAGAATATCGTTAAGAAAAAATATTTTATATCATTTGCAAATTAAGTGTGACTGCTCTCTTCATCAACGTATCTCTTGCCGTTTACAGTTACTGATTACAATTAATATGTTTCTATATCGAATTTCATGACTTGTATATTCGTATTTTCATATAAATTGAACTAATAAATTAATGAGAAAAATACTTTATCTTGTTAATGCAAAAACAACTTTTATCACTCGTCCATATTATTCTTCATCATATGTGCAGATAGTCCTTGATCAGTACATTGACAGCCCATGAATATTTTAAAGCATCAATCTGAAACAATCAATTAGACATGATCATCTTCGATTAAACTTTGATTCTTTTATAAGGATTCTTTTTATTCAAACAAGTTCTTTTTCCATGAATATATGTAAAAAAAAATAATAGTTCTTTTACTTCATATCAAATTAAACGTATTTAATTAATTAATTACAATGTAATTAGTGAATAACTCTCTAATCTTCTGAGGGAAAAGTTCAAGAATTTTAGAATAGATTCTATGCCATTGATTATATCTATGGTGAAACTTTTAGAAAGATCCGAGTGCAAAAAAAAATCAGTTCTTCAAATGTCTTCTCTAGTCCTAGAACGAGATTTTTTATTTTAATATCATCTTGCAAACCTCAGAGAAGGATTTGTATTATTTAGAATTCTTTCTTGTTTGACTTCTTATTCAGTTACAAGAGAAATTTTCGTTTCTATATTCGTACTCAGTCAAATCACCAACAACAAATAAACTCAATTTAAATATGTTCAAGAATAATTTTGTGTGCAGATTTTTTTAATCCGAAAAGTTTTCTACACAATTCACTATTTAGTTTTCAAAAATACTATTTAAACTTGTACAATTTGTAAATGAAAACATGAATAGTGAAAATCTTTGTTCTCTTCGAGGTTATGTCGGCAACGCTGATTTTTCGATAATAACTCGGAGAAACCAGTATATGCAGAGTAACTCAACAAGTATCTGTAACATAAAACTTAGTTAAAAAGTTGTGCTCTAGTTGAGAGATAAAAGTATTTTTATTTCGACAAAATCACATCGCTAACGAATTAAATTTCCCATATATAAATGAAGAGCATAGTCATTGTATCAGTCGAGAACAAAACAATTGATAAAAATAAATTTAATAATAAGAGAAAACTAAGTGTTGTATTTGATAGAGCATTGTCGAATAAGTATGAAAATAATATTTTCCCAATACTTCACAGTGTCAATGTTTGAATTAACATGCATATCGTTTATTTTAATGAAATTTATAAGAATCTTCGGCGATTATGGACGATGATAACAATTGAGAAGTGCATTCTTTCATTGAACATCTTGTGAAGTTAAAGCTAGATATATCATCGTATATCAATCAGTCTTAAAATATTATTACTTCAAAAGATATTGCTTCATACTTCGTTAGTAAAACTGAATTTTCTCTTGAGCGGAGGAAGATTTTTGTTTGTGATATTACTTTACTGTATCAGAAAAGAAAATTAGTGTTCTTTCGACATGTGACGGTAGAAGTTAAGTATTTTATACTATTGCTATGATTTCTCGGAAAATAAAACAAATGGAAGGATGATTTTTTTTACATAAGTGAATGAGCACTTTTAGATCAATAAATCAAAATCAATTGAGTAGGATTCGATTTATAGATATTTTTGATTTCTAGATACAACGATACAATGAATGTACTTTTCAATCAAATATATTTCGATATTAGTTGGAGAAATCAAATCGATATGAATAATTTGTCATGTGAAATTAAACTTTTCAAGCTTCATCATGTTATTATATGCGTAGATTTTTTGATTTTAATCAACGTGTACTACTGGTTTACGTTTGTTGTTTTTTTTTTTATATAGAAGAGACAATGTTGTGTGTCACAATAGAAAGATAAATAAAACGTCTTCTTTCAATACATAAATAATCATTAAAACAAGCCATTGATCATCTGATTTGTTTATGTTGTTTAAATTTGTTATTAGTGAACATTATAAAGTATTAGAAATCCCATATATAATTGTTTAAGAATTTCAAACTACGATTTATTTTCAAACGTAAATAAATTCCTGAGTAGAAAAAAATAGACACTGATCACTTTAGTACTGTTGTAGACTTGTTCTTTACTTTATTATGAAGATGGTTTTTTCAAATAGAAAATTTATCTTTAATTTAAAAATGTTTGATTTGTTTTTGAACATTTTAGAAATAGTATTATCCTTTTTTTATTTAAAAAAGAACATTTGATTCAAAAATGAGTGAAGAAATGATTTACTAACTAGAACAAAAATGTTCTAATTTTCAGTTGAATTTCATTTAATTATTTGTAGATTAAATCATGATCATAGTAAATTAGTTATTTTTCATTCGTCTTTTTTTCATTGAACATAGTTCTACAATTTGAAATTAATTAAATAAGCTATTCAATCTGATAGAATAGTTTATAAATTTCTTTTACCTTTTAAATGACTTATTAATTCAAACATTTAAACTAATGCATTCGTTGAATAATACTCGTTAATATCAAATATATATGTTTAAGGTGACCGATCACTTCGTCGCAGAACAATTTTTTTTCGTTCTGTTCGTCGCAGAATAATTTCTTTCGTTCTGTTCGTTGCGTTCCTCTTAATTAATTGTTTTTCAAGACATGAAATTGATCAATTTAATTCATCTTTATTTTGTGCATGATACATAAGATAATGATGAACAAATTGAGTACAACAAAAAAGAAAAAAACCAAAAAAAGAAGAGAACTCCAAAAAAATTAAAGAGTTATGTTAGCCGCAATATTTTTTAAGTTATTCTTNGGAGTTCTCTTCTTTTTTTGGTTTTTTTCTTTTTTGTTGATCCGTTTTCCCAAATAAAGTCATATGCATAGGAACAATCAATTGTCTATTTTTATTGTACACATCCTTTAGAATTTTTAATTTATTTTATTTTATTTGTTTATATTTAAAAAAGAATCAATTGAGAGGAACAGAACGAAAAAAAAATTGTTTTGCGACGAAGTGATCGCGACAAAATGTACTAGTGCCATGTTTAAATATATATTATATCATATGATATTTTACCTTGAATTGATTTGATATTTGATATTTTTTCTGATTTCTGTATACTAATAAGATATCAACAAAGAATTCTTTTCTTGAAAATATATTATCAATATATTCAACATTCAAAATTATTTTCTGTTTAAACAACATTTTTTACTATTACAAAATAATATAGATTATACACGTGCCCGAAAAACATTTTTTTTGATAGCAATATTCAAAACATAAGATGCACGTAGGTAAAAAAATATATATAATTTCGAACCATAATTAGACCTTTTTTTTCGTTCGCAAAAGTAGCAAGCTCCTGTGTTTATTGCATACGTCATAATTGTCGACTGCTTAAATGCTGATACGTCCAATTTTCTTACTCAGTGTTTTTTTTTCTTTCCTTATTTTCGATACCTTTATAGCTGATCCCGTGAACTAGTGTATTTGATGTAATAACAAGCAAACCATCTGTTTTATTTTTTTTTCTCTACACATAATACTTATTTATTTTTCATCATTGTCTTTATCCAATGGGACGAAATACGTTGACTTTTGAGTCTCTCAAGGCCACGACAAATATACGTATTACCAACAATATTTGTCGATGTTCCAGCTGAATGATTGCATGTCTTTTTCTCTTACAGCGTCTTTTTTCTAACCGCATAGCTATCAACCCATCATTATTTAAAAACACATACACTACAAGAACAACATTTATTCTACGTTTGTTTGTGTGTATAACATAAGAAATAATGAGTCGATACACTAGTCGTGGATATGGTGGTGGGTATGGTGGCGGGTATGGTGGTCGATATGGTGGCGGGTATGGTGGTCGATATGGTGGCGGGTATGGTGGTGGATATACTTCTGGACTTGGAGGATATATGGGCTATGATCCAGCAATTAATATCTTAGTACCTTGGACACCACAATTTGGTGCGGCTTATCAACAATTCCTTGGTCTTGGTTCAGGCATTGGTGGACTTGGTGGTATTGGTGGACTTGGCGGTCTTGGTGGACTTGGTGGTATTGGCGGCCTTGGTGGACTTGGTGGTATTGGCGGCCTTGGTGGACTTGGTGGAGGACTTGGTGGCTATGGAGGATTAGGTGGCTATCCATTAGGATTTGGTGTTACCACCTATTAATCAAACTACAACTAACTTTATGTTAATAACAACGTTTTAACGTCATTTCGTTGTTTTTTAAGTGAAAAAAGACACTTCTTTACACAAGCTATGTAGTATTTCTTTTATTAATTTTTTTAATTCGCATGCTCATAACAATATTATAATAAAAGAATTTACATATGCTTTAGTTTACCATTTTTGATTAACTGGTAAATCAAATATTGAGTATCAAATATCGATAACTATGAATTTTCTATATAGTATTTTAATTTTACAATTGACATCATAAGAACCTCTTAACAGCTAATAATAGTCAAATTAAAAATCTTACATACAAATTCTTTATTATTTAAAAGTAAACATTTCTCACGGTCATTTTTAGTTTCACTAATTTTATAGAAAATAACCGTCACATACATCATAAAGTATCATTGATAGATATCTATTCATCACAAAAATATTTTTTTCTTGCTGGCCATATAGATAAACATGACTGACTTAAATAATATGTAATCGTATAGCATCAACCAAAAAAAGAAAAACAAGAGTGTGTTACTACTCTATAGGTCGTTTTTTATTGATAGAAATAAACACGTTCATTAATGATTGATATCATTGTCATTTTTATATACCAAGGTTATCATTCTTGAATGGTTTCTATAAGAAATAACAATGCAAATCATATCCAGATTTCTTTTGAGTAATATATTTTTTGTATTGATACAATATTCAAATATTATTCATAAGAATTTTTTTTATGTTAAATTTTTATTATAGGGAAAAAAAATACGAGCATTGAAAAATAATAAAATTAATCTTATGATAAAGAAAAATAGTTACTAGATGAAAATCTTTTATCAATAATAGTTTAATTATTAAATATGATGAATTTATGCATGCAGTTTGATCTATTTAGAAAAACTCGAATAATTAAATATACACAATAATGACCAAAAAGAAAAACGTAGATAATAATAAACGAACAATTCAAACCAATTCTATTGACATAGATCAATACAAAATTTAACAAAGATAAAGATTAAATATTCTATCTATCTGATATATGAAATTTTTACTTCATTAATACTATTTGATTATATTTAATATTTTACTATAATTTTATCATGACAAATGAAAAAAAAAAATTAAGGTATTTTTTTTAGTTTAATTTTGATTTCTTTCAAAACTTCAAATGAATATATATGAAAGAGAATATAATAAATTCAAGCGATTTTTCATCTCAATAGGATATGTGTAAAATTAGAAATTTTTGACAAAATAAAGTTTCATTTGTTTACTCAAATGAACGTTGTTCATTTGAACAATACGTTGTCAAGGTCAATCTCGACGAGATGGCCGAGCGGTTAAGGCGTTAGACTGCTAATCTAATGGGCGCTGCCTGCGTGAGTTCGAATCTCACTCTCGTCGCCATTTTTTTTTGGTGATGTTGTTGCTTCGATGGCGTATCCCATGCGCTACAAACAATTATCTTAGTCTTTTTTTCTTTGTTCTTTCGACATCATTGTTGTTTTTTTTTGTTTATGAGTATTTTGTAGAAAAAATTTTTAACTAGTTTACTTTCAAGATGTTTTTGAATTTTTTTCTACCGAGCTCGATTTTTATTTTATTGGTGAATGAGAAGAATGACGAATACTTGACTAAAGGTTAAGGACAAAAATAAAACTGGGACATTTACAATGTTTCATATACTATTGAGGTCCTCTCCGCTGAAAAAAATCGATTTTGACTTGGGCACATTCAAATCGTATGAAATTTTCAGCTCTATATTGTGATGGTTTCGGGAAATATCCACCAAACAGGAGTAAAAAATAGCTCATTTGGCAATCCGAAATTCTTCGTAGACCTTCATTCTATAAGTTTAATTACTTTGTATCTCAATGTTCACTTTTTTGAGGAAGGGGGTGACTTAATAAATAAATCATTTGGCTCGAATAAATTCAAGTTTTCTGAAGAGAAAAAATTTTCATCGTAATTTATTCTGTTTATTCTTATTTGTATGATTTAAATTCTTCAAATATTTCACTTATAAATATGAATTAAAACAAAGTATAGTTTTAATAATTTTTTTCTATCTATTCTTATTGAATGTATTCGTCGAAAACATTTCATACGGAATAATGATTGTATATCCCTCATAACTTAAATATAAATTTTTTATGACAATAAATCAATATAATGAATGATTAGGTCCCGTTTCGTCGAAAGCTTAATTGATTTTTCTGTTTCGTCGAAAAAAAAATTCTGATTAATCAAGGAAGAATAGATTATATCATTTGATGAGATTTTTTCGTCCTACTAATTACTCGTAGACAAGTTTATCAAAAAAAAAATGATTATAGAGAAGATTTAGATACATAAATAAGAAATTATTAAGAGAAGATATGAATATAGAAAAGAAAACAATCAGTATTTTTTTTATTCCGATTAATTGCATAACTTTTTCAAGTTATAATGATATTATTTGTTCTCTGTAACTTTTTTTACTGGTTGCGGTGAATCTTCAATACGTCGTTTTAAATTCATTCTAAATTCTTCCACTTTACATTTCATTTCATCACCATCATGATTGTGTGATTTATTCATGCTTGGTGGACTTGAACCATATTGTATAGCACGTCCAGGACATGAACGATGTTCACATTTTCAATAAATAGCTGTGTTTAAAATGTTATCTTGTGTGTAGCGAAAAGTATCAAGTAATAATGTTGGTTTATTACGTTTACTTTCAACAATAGATAGCATCGTTTTGTGTAATAATGAATGAATATAACAAAAAAAAATGAATTTTCCTTTTTGACTCCACATATATATACTTTTGCAAAATTACAGATTACTAATTAGTATAGAGATATCAATCAGTTTCTTTTTAAGGAAACAGTTTAGGTCAACCAAAGAAATTGAGCTTATCACTTTGATTATACTTTTTTCATTACAATTGAATTTTTCGACGAAACGGGAATCTACCTAACGAATTTGAAATAATTCAAGACATAACATAAGCAAATTAAAATTTTGAAATCTATATTAATCTTATTATTTAAACTGTTATAACACAGTGCTAAGGGATAATAAATGAAAAGAATATTTTTTCTATTGTAAATGTAATGTTGAACTACCTACTGATTTAATGACTATGTTTATCAATGATAAAAACTAAATATAAACTTGTCATTTGCATTGCTGTCAAATCATATATAATACTCACTTTAAAAAACAAAGATTATTGCTTTAGAAATAACACAAGATGCTATTTTCGTCATGTTATTAGCATATTTTATCGTATCTATAGTATAGACAATCGTTAGAAAAATTCAAATTTATTTTCATATGAAATATTTTATTATACTTCTAATCTTTAAACTTTTCAAAATTTATGTATCTAATTAATTTGAAATGAATAATAGAAAATACATTTTGTTGATTTTACTTTTGCATATGATAAAGAATCAATTATTATATCAAATTTTATTGTATTGATTGATGGAAATTCACGATTAGAAAATGATATATAAGCATTTTCTTAAACTATTCATTTTGTTCTTGTGTCAATGGCATCAATGATAATAAATAAAAAGATTGTTGAAATAATTATTTCTAATTAATTTTTCTATTGAAATTTACATTTTATTTCTAGTCTAATTATTTTACACAGTCAAAATTAAATTATTTAAAAGTATCTATTCGAATAACAACTATTCCAAAATAAATTCGAGAATGAATTTTTTTTTTTTCTTCATAATAAAGAAAAATATGAAAACTTAATTGAATAGCTGTTGGATGTATCGTATGTTTGATATAATTGGTAATTCCTCTAGCATCTACTTTCAATTATACCCAACTGTTTTTTCTTATTACTCTCTGCTTTTTTTTTTTTTCTTGAAAAACAATGCGTTAACATTAAAGCGATGTATGAAATGTTATTTTATTTAAGTAATCATTTTTTTTTCAATCAACATATACCCATAGTATAAATTATGATACGAACATTCAATTTAATAAATACAAATAATAAGAAATCAAAAAATACTAATTATAAGTTATTATCAACGTTTTCAAATAAGGTTAGTTATGAAATGATATTAATTAGATTTTTACAATTAAAATATTTTATATCGTAGATTCTTTTAATTTTAATTTAGACATCATCATTTAAAAATTCAAATGAAACATTACCATCGTATAATAATAATTCAATTGTGATCGATAACTATCAAATAAGTCGAAATATTCATTTTATAAAACATTCTAAAACAAATCGGGTTGATGGTTATGTAACATCACTTAAGCGACGAGTTCGACAAGTATTTCTTTGTTTTATTGTTCATGCTATTAAAAAGAATTTAATATTCATTATAGCAACAATGGGGACATAATCAAAATCAAGTAACAACTTTTCAAGAAACTAATTTACAAGTACCTTCATCTATCAATCTATTGTTAGTATCGTATCCAGAACAACCTGTATCACCATGTCCTTATCAATTGAAAACAAAAAGTCGTACACTTCCTTTACTACCATTAATTAATAATAAAAGGACAGTACGAACTCGTGCACATGAAAATTAAATTAAATTTTAATCAATATTATAGTTCTTTGGTCTCAAACTTAAAATGAAATTTTGATTTTTTTTCCAGTTTCGATTCATTTTGTTCTTGTCCATCTTCTTTTTTTCAATAAAACTCTCTTACTATGTATTGTGATTGTAGTTATATCGAGACCAAGATTCGCTACAATAAGCTATTAACAAATAAAAATGATAACTTATTTTATGCTTGTCTAAGCTTGATTTTTTTTATATCATCGTTATGTTTTTCTTGTTTGAATATTTACTTATATGTAATAGCTATCGTTTGTCAATAACGATTTAATTAATTGTTCTTATTCGAATAGTTATAAAAGAAATGATTGTTGATTGACGAACTGAATGTTCACTAGTGATGGTGTTGACCATGACGATTATTATTTGAGATGGTCAGAAAAATAAATATATTTACTTGTAGATGCTACAGCAGTTTATTGACGATGATCTTTTGCCAAGGACATCTGTAAATCATATCAAGAATACAAAGAATTACTTAGAAGTCGACAAAAACAAAGAATATGTTAATATCAATACAGAAGCTGATGTTGATAGTGAATAACTTTCATTAAACATTAATATTGAAAACAGCACTTCTAGATTTATGAAAGAACTGTTTCAATTGATAAATCGCTTTTGAGTCGAGATTGTGTGCCTTATGTACATCTAAATGAGTTATAAATACTCTGAAAAGAGTTCTTGTTCGTAGCTAATCAATACGGACATATTACACTTTTACAGTATCTTTTAAATGAATGTTGGTACTATACTTCTTAGGAACACCAGAAAAACTGATTTTCAAATTTCGATTTGAAACATTGCACACAGACAGGCCTTAATAAGAGTAATTTATTGTGAAAATTTCAGGTCTTTTGATTTGCTTCTATTCTGAATGAAAAACATAAAATCTGCCGGTTGATAGAAATGATGTAAAATACATGCTGTTACTATAGTTGTATTTTAGCATAGGAACCTGTGCGAGGGTCTCAAGGTCAAAAAGTCTTAGTAGTGTGATAGTTTAAAAAAAAGTCATGCATATCATAAGAGATCTTAACGTATTGAATAAATACTAAAATAAATCGAAAACTAAATATTTTTTTTGTAAAAGAATAATCTTTCGAATGTCAATCGATAGTCAGCTTTAGAAATAATTAACAAACAGATTGTTTATTCTAATCTTAGTTTTCATCAAGGTCTTTCGATATGATATAGCCTTGTTTGTGCCTTCAAGCCATATGATAAATAAATTAACTCTATACAGAATTTACAATAGATATTATAGAAAAAACAATCGATGATTAATCATCAATATTTTTTAGTTGTTTCATGAAGATCTACGAAATAATCACAAATGAACTTGATCACAATGTTATTCATCAATAACTTGCTTCGACGAGATGGCCGAGCGGTTAAGGCGTTAGACTGCTAATCTAATGGGCTCTGCCCGCGTGAGTTCGAATCTCACTCTCGTCGCCACTTTTTTTTTCTGCGCGCACATACGTCATACGTTTCTTTTTGTTCTACATGCAAAGAGAACTACTAGTATTCACAATAATAGTTTTTCAGAGCACTACAACTATCTTTTTCACTAACGTTCTTTTATATTGAAATGACTTCTCTCTGGTGACATATGTTATGACTACTATATGTAGTTGTAATACTATTACCGGTCGAGTTTCAAGCAAGTACAAAAAGAAAATAATCGAATAATATTTATATATATATCTATATATATGTTTTTTGATAATGTTAGAAAGAAATTTAATTAAATAGAAGAAAGTAACTGGCGAGCCAGAATAAATTAGACTATTTGTATATTTTGAATATGTCTCTTCTATTCTTCATTAAATCCAAATGTCTTTTTTTTATCCAGAGATGGCGCTTGAAGTTCTTTACAAAACCATATGTAGTTGGAAACAAAAATTGTTTTAGTTTTATTTTAAAAAAATATGAAGAGTGATGATATACAAACAGCTGTAAGAAATAAATATGAAAATAGAGATGAACCGATGAAAATTTACCGTGATTTGGTCGAAGTAGTTTCGTTACAAACCAATAAATTACGGGTAAAAATGATCGACAACACTGACTCTATCATTTTGTCCCATTATTCCAACCGTCTGTATACAGTTCGAACAAAAGTGAATATCTGAAAAGTGAAGCGATGCCTAATAGTCGAGAAACGGATGTCAACAAGAAAATTGCATGTTGAAATAAAGTTTATAACACGGATATCGCATGCAGATCTTGGTTCTTGTTCATAGCGGAAGGTCGAAGAGTTAATCATGACTGATCTGCAAAAAAAGAGCAGGCTAATCTTACAGATTGAATATTAGCAGAATTGTTTTAAGGTTCACACGCGTCACCACAGTGAAAAATGATGTACCGGCCATTTTTGGGCATTCATACCTAAGATCCATTAGTCGCTGAATCTGCCTGATTGATTCCGATTAGGTTACAGTTTATGAGATGAACTAGCGGAGCGATGAATTGGGACCGTATAACAACAAAGGTATCATTGATAGACTAAACAAAACTGTCTATCAAAAAAAGTTGAAAAAGAAAAAGTTTCTACATTCTGTACTTGATTTTACTGCCCGATTACGTGTGATCCAATAACATAAAGAAAAATATATTTGTTAAAGAAAATTGTTTAGGGTCTGACGATAAAACTAGGGAGCAATAAACGGAAAGAGATCAGATTACTGCGAATTTCACAATAGAAATTATAAATGTAGAGTTGGCCAGTCATAAATGGTGAGTTTTTGATACCAAGTGTAGAGAAAAATCATGTATTTTCACTACAGTAACTGTACCATGATACTCTGAGAGATGTCTCAGATTTTTCAATTTTTTTTTCAACAAAAGATGTATTCCTAGCATATACAACCTTCAGCATTTAAAAAGCTCACTCAGTGGCAACATGTGATAATCGATGCTAATACTACGAGAGCAGGAGGAGGAAAAGAAATGAGAAACTATTTAGTATGCAGAATGCTAGCGATACATAACACACAGCAGAATTAAAATGCTAGAACTTAGCAAAAATAAAAAACTTTAACCATACGAAACGCTTTACCTTCTTTCGCAGTGTGCTTTCAGAAATAGCAGTATGAGTTTTCAAGAAACAGCATTTTTCGAAAATCCTAAAATTTGTCTTCGAGAGAGAGAATTCTGGTTCATGGTATTCTGACATTCACCTTCTAGAACTACACAGATCGATACGCCGAAAAAACTTAAAAGACAAACCTGCTGAGAGAAGTCGAAAACTCTTTCATCGACAGTGATACTGTCATGATCCCGCACAATGTGCGTCTCTTTGTGTGTTTGTCTCTTCGTGGCAGCCGCATTTGGTGCAATGCACCATGTGGGTGTTGTGGTGTATCTTCATTGAGAAGATGCTTTGTTAGCCACGGAACCATGCATGTTGACATCGGGAGCCATAACTGTAGAGGATTTTGTAAAAACCAGAGACATCTCTTCATGGTATCATGAGACGGTTTCTGTAGTGAAAAATCATGATTTTCAATAAAGTTTCGGTGAAAAATTCACCATTCACAATCACCCACCTCTACATTTATGCTTATCATCCTTTACATTTATCGTTTCTGTTATAATGTATTGAGTTTCATAACAATTTGTTACTTTTAAAATCATAAATGTAGAAGGAATGTCAAAAATGGTGTTTTTTTAGTTGAATATTGCTGGATTTACAGATATAGATTATTTTTCTTTATTCTCGTACGGAATCTTTGAATTACAATGGCTATTATCAGATGCAACTTCTATCAGCTAATAAACCTTATTGAAATCATAAACTTTCAAAAGCAAGAGCTAATCAAGAGAAAAATTACAACGATCAGACATAAGCTCTGCAGCATTATAAAAGTGTTTTATGAATAAATGATTTGTCGCACATAAAATATAATTTCTATAATTAATTTAAAAAATATGATTCAAACTGGCGAAATGAATTTTATTTGTTTTATTAAGTTTTAAATGAATGATGACTTTGAATAAATCCAAAAAAGCTTGTTAGCGCAACATCGTTGGGGCTGAAATGTGGAACTCAAATATGTTCTTTAGCCTCATTAAACTAATACTCAACAGATAAAATGAAAAATCTCTAATAAACTATAGTTCTGTTCGAAGATAAACGAGCAGCAAAGTAAAGATTTATCTTACTTATTCCTGCATTTTTCTTTTTTTACTACCGCCCTATTTTTTGTTTGCATCATTGCTATAGGGTCGTTATTTTTCATTTTCGTATTTTTTTAAAATTTAGCATTAAATTAAATTATAAATAAAGTTGTTGTAGATATCCATTATATCTACAGCAGTGGATCTTAACACACTATAATATATCTCGATCAACTCACACTTTTTATGTTGATCAGATGACAGGTGTGGTAGAGGGGGGGAGGGAAACAGTACCCTGATTACTAAGGTCTATAATGGTGAAGTATCTGTAATGGAATGGAGGGCACTTTGATTGATAAGTTTCTGTAATAGGGAAGAGAGAAGCCGCAAAACTTTGACTTTCAACTTACACTCACTATTTTCTCCGAAAACATATGTGAATTCCACAAAATAAAAAATAAAATAATTAAGTATGTATATCCATATAAATACATGTCACAGTTGAGTTTGGAACGCGCCCAAAAATTGAAAAAACTTTCTCAAAGCAAAATTTTCCTTTTAATAAGAATAAAGTTTTATAAATCATATCAGAGATCCAAACAGGCCACGAGGCCTGCCGGCCTGCCTGTCTGTGACAGGCACAGGCCAGGCAGGCCGCCTGGCCTGTCTACTTTTTCTTCGAAATCGAAATTTCATCTGAGAATTTCATGATTTTGTTAGCAAATAGATACAACCTTCATTAGTTTTCAAAAAATCACATTTAAGCACGGTGAATCAGACGAATACTGCGGAATGAGTATTAAAGATACTTATAGGAGATCAATACCCTTATCATTCTGAAGAGAAGATGAGCAAAAATTTTCATAGTTATCATTATCTACTTGTCATATTTCTCAATTTTAGTTAAATTAAATGACTCTAAATCCTTTTTTCTGTTGCAGATTTACCATTGATTGAATTTTGTTTCTTACTTGATTCCGATACTTTGAGTGACATTAGGATCTGGTATAAGAAATTCAATGAAAATATTTTTGAACAAAAATCAGATATCTTCCACAAGTTAACTATCTCAGTATTGTTTTTATTTTGTCTACGTATCACCAATGTTCAGTTCGTAAACTCTTAATCAGTAATACAACTTTTGAACGTATGTGGGTACCTGTGAAATAGTCAATACCTACAGATGTCACCAACTCTGAAAAAGGATAGAGTTCGAAGTTGATATTATTTACACATTCCTACTGCGTCCCGCGCTTTATGATTCAGTTGAAGGATAGCCTTTCTTTTAGGATACAGACAGCCATAATTACTTTCACTTTTACTTATATAAAGCCTTAGAAAATTAAAAATCGTATGGTCCAGAAGACATAAATAGCTTTTTGTGCGAAATTTTACTATTTATATACTGTTATTAATTGTCATCTAACTTTATATTGAAAGATATATATCGTAAAATTCTGTTCAAACAATCTATATAATGTTTTATTACAAAGTATGAGAAGAGAAAGCTACACGAAAAAATATTCAAGGTCTCCGAAGCTACCAGCATTCTAAAGCACGATGTAGCATTTCTTAACTTTTTGCTAAGCGGTGACAAAATTATAAGCATATATCAAATTAAATTTTTTGATGCTGTGACGAATGCAGATCTAGTCTTTATAAAAGAAATGATGCAAAAAGTTGATTCTAGGTTCAGTAATATCATACATTTTTAATCAGTTAGGAATCGATAATGAATTGACTTTAATTTGCTTTTATTGTAATCTATTCGCTACCAATTGACAATCGATAAAAGAATAATGATTTTAGTCATTTAAAATGAATCTTTTCTAACTCTTACATGAGTTTTTACATGAAAGCGTGTCCGCAGTTTTTACAGGTAGGCATTGTAGCTATCTCTTTAATGAAGTTACTTGCTTATTCAGAACGGTGCCAATTTTCGCCGAGCGATTTTGACTAGAAATCGATCGTTCTTTCGAGGAAACGTTTTTCCAGTGAACTGAAAACTATGTTTTTTTATACTCCGGCTAACTAGAAGTATCTTTGGAAATGAAGTCTTTGTTCTACTCTTAGTTTCACATGCTCTCAATTATAAAGCAGCATGATACCTTTGTTTAATTGGAAACCTGACAATTCTCATGTACTTTTCAATTAGAGACTTTTCAATGTAGCGATGTAGATTGAATTCAGTGACTAATACGACTTTTTATGAAGATTATTACTTCTTTCTATGGTATTTTTATCATGATATTGACATGAAAAAAATACACAGGCCTAGACAGGCAGGCCAGGCCGAGGAAATCAGAGAACAGGCACAGGCAGACTAGGAGGGGTGTAAGCCTGTCACAGGCAGGCCAGGCATTCAAAAAGTGGGCCTGTTTGGATCTCTGAATCATATGATATAATTCAATTGCACAAGAGATCATAGAAAAATGCTATATTAAATACAACACATAAAAAAGAAATGAATAAATACTTTTATATATTTATCTTTATTTTAATAATAAAACAAAGAAATTCTTATTGTACACATTTCAATTTTCTAACTGCTTTATCATATTAATTGTACGCGTCATACATTAATTAAAATTTGTTTTGTAATCAAGTTTTGAGATTCTATAGATATAAGATAAATGGTTGATTCATAATTCTTAAAATCAGAACTAACATAAACCTACAGTGTTGATAAACTGATTTCAAGGACCGTACATGACAAAAAAAAGCTCTCGTCACTAATCTTAACAAGAGCTCTCACATAGAAATGCATCATATATTCGGTAACGTATTTTCGGTCACATGTAAGACTTAGAGTTGTGCATGATAGCACTATTGCCATCGCGGTAGATATTTCAAAAATGCTATCGTGATAATGGCAGCTTATTTCTTCTTTAGGGAGGTTGTAAAATTATATGAATTTGCATCCGATGTTAGTGTCTACAATCATAACAGTTAGAATCGTGATAATTCTGATAGTATCAAGCTAACGAGGGAATCCTTTCAGGCGATAAAAAGCTTTTGAGACGAGACTTGTATGATCAGTTAGAGTCTATTGATGGTAGGCAAAGCCTATAATGATTTGTCACCTTGTTGCTTGCTTTTCGAGTTATGACTATTTTACTGAATTTCTGGCTTATTGCATGGCATGTCATAGAAAATCTAATGTTATCATTTAAATCTGAGCTTTGCTCATAAAGAAGTCTTATGATCCTCATAACACACTGAAAGTTTCAGTCATAATGAATGCTTTCTTCCTAACAGAACAGATTTACAAGAAAACTGGGCTTTTAGAAGTCTTTTCTAAATACGCACATTGGCTGAGTGTATCATGTGAGTCATAAGATCTCTTTATGAACAAAAATTTAGGCTTAAATAACAGAATTAGATTTTTTTATGGCATACCATACCATAAGTCAGAAATTCACTACAATGACCATAACTCGAAAAGAAAGCCACAAGACGACGTATGATTATAGGCTTTGTCTACCGTCAATGGATTCTAACTGAGCATACAAGTCTCGTTTCAAAAGTTTCTTATTATTTGAAAAGATTTCCTCGTAAGTGTGCTGATTTACCGAAGTGACAGAAGAGATATTCAAAGAATTTCTCAAAAACCATAGAGACAACGGTAGATTTCTAGTCGCGATGGATATCTCTGGCAAAACTATAGCAGATTATGCTTTTTTCTACAACTTCGTATCATATAAAATGCATTAAATTTGATAAACTTTCGTTGGTGTAATGATAAAAATATGTCTTATGACAAATAATACTCAAATTTTTCTTGTTTTTTTTTGAACAAGAAAAAGAAAATGAAAATATTTTGTTGAAATAATTTATAATTCAATTTATGAACAATAATGAAAAACATCATTTCTAAAGAATAATTGTTTAAGAGCTAAAACTGAATGAATTATTCTGTTATTTGTTGATGAATGCCTATTTATTCTGTTATGTATCAAACTGAATAAATAAATATCTATTATGATTGTTCACATATAGAGTTATTAATCGCTGTAACTCGTGCCATTATGACAAGAATATCATCAGGTTTAATATAAAATCGTATAGCTCGAGTAACTAAATCATTTGCAGAATGTTTCAAAGAATAATTCTAAAACAAAAAAAAATAAAAATAAATTAATTGTAAATAATAAATATTAAAATCTACTTGAGAAAGAATTTTTTCGATTAAATAATTCGGAACATTATCAAAAAGACCATCAGTAGATAGAATAATTATATCATTTAATTCTAAATCGAATGTATCACAAATAGCATCATGACTTCTAAATTAGAAAAATACTATAAATTAATTCTTCTGAATATTATGTGTTTATCAATATATATGTCAAATCAATTATTTTTAAAACATTTTGATCGCAAGGATAAGAAAATAATATAAAAATATTTTTCGTTTATAATAATAACACACAAGGTCGAAAGATGATTTCTTTTTTTTGATACTTCTATATAAAATAGTCTAAAAAAAACATACGATATTTGCGTATAATTTATACCATGTCCTTTCAATGATGCAGTCCATGGATAAACATCTAATTGTCGAGGACAATCTCCATTCATTGCTTGTGATCGTGATCGATAAACAACACAACCTTGTCGTACAATAACGTAACCTGAATCACCGATATTTACTGAATATAGTCGACCTGTTCCACAATCAACACCAAGTACACATGCTGTTGCACTACCTTTTTAATATTTTTTGTTAAAAATTAAAATTTAACATACAGATTAATTGAAAAGAAAAATTAATATCATACCAAAACAATTTTCTCTTTGAACACGATCAAATGCATGACATAAAAGACGTTTAGGTTGTGATGTCGAATATTTTCCTGTATGAGCTAAATCTGAACAATTACGCATTAATGATTCAGAAAAAAGACGAGGATTATAGCCATACATTTGATTACCACCGGCACCATCAGAAATTCCTATCAAAATCAAAATGAATATTTTTTGTTGTTGTTTTTATTATGAAACATTACCTAAAAAATTTCCTCGTTCTTTTTGTATTATAAATCCAGCATCATCACCAAAACATCCATCATTTAAAGAAAAATTCTTATGTGGTACTGGTAATCGTGTATTCTTTTGCATACCACATGTTGCAATTTCAAGTGAAAGTTTCTTATCACCATCAATCAATAATGATATTGTCGGTTCTTCACGAATATGTTTTGTATATGGATGATGACGATGATGTCGATAATGATGTGAAATGTGATAGATATCAGGTAATGATTGAGAACCTTTTATAAATATTTTACTTAAATCAAAATCAACAGGCATATTTTCTTGATCATATTGTTCAACATTTTCTATGTTTATTGACAGATGAACTTGTCCATGAAGATAATTTTTAAGATTTTGAATATCAGAATCAGATAACATGTATATATTTTTATCGTTATTGTCTGAATTAATAATTTGAAAACTAACACTACTCATGATAAGTATATAACCAATTCGAGACAACCTTCAAATAATGATAATAGTCGACCTTCCTATTAGTTATTCTATCATAATAATAATGTTTTCGTACTTGATCCACCAAAGTGTTTGATTTTTACATATCTTTATATGATTTGGTTGATTGACTCATAAGAATAGGAGAGACAGAGAACGCAAAAGAATTAAATCATTCAACCGAAACACAATATAACTATCATTTTATTACTTTTGACATATTTTATATAAAATACTCTGCATTTGATATTGTGTTAACAAACAAAAAAAAAGTGAGCATACAATAAACTTCTTTTGAATAAATAAAAAAAAAAGGAATGAATTTATTCAGAACTTATAGAAATTATGATTTTCAAACGAAAAATAGATGTTTCTTTTCTTAACAGTTTTTCATTAGAAAACAAAAAAGAAAAATAACTTTAAGATGTAACAGTATTTGACCAAACACAATGATCATGATGGCAAGTCATCCACATAGATTGTTCGAAAAGAGTACATTTTCTATTCGATAATCTAAAAATATATTTTAATAAAAAATTATATTTCGTTTTTAGAAAAAAAAAAAGAAAGAATCCTACCTGTTTAATAATGATTTTTTATCAATGATTTTTATAATACATAAATGATTATCAACTTTAAGTAATAAACGATTATTTAAAATTCCAATAAATGAAAATAAATCTTTATGAATAAATAATTTTGCTATTTGTTTACCATTAGAAACATTATACATTCTTAGAAATCGATCATGACAAATAATAAAAAGATATTGTTCATATTCTTTATTATAATTACTTAAACAAATTGCTTCACATTGACCAGTATTATCATCTAATCGAATAGTTCCACGTAATTTTTCTTTTAAATCATATAATATTAAGGTTTTATTATCTGTACATACAAGAACAAATCGATTATCTTTTGATATAAAACGTGAAGCTTGTTCTAATTGAGTAATTGATTTCTTTTCTTTCCAGCAAAGATATATATGATTGTCATCAGTATGAAAGATAAGATAATCAGATACTGAATATAATTGAATAATATTTGTTGATTTTAATTGAATAGGTTGTAGAATCGTCATGTTTTGATTATTTAAATTAAATTCGATAAGAGTTGTTGGATCATTTGAAATAATATATAAACAATTATTAGATGTAATTGTACTTAAATGACAATCAATGGGTAATTGAACAAGATTTTTTAAATTCAATGAATTAATATCTATTTGAAAAATTTCTTTTGTTTGTAAACAAATAACAATAAATGATGATTGAAATGAATGAATTTGAAGATTTTTATATTCAAATAATTTTGATGTCCATAATAATTTTAATGAATTTAAACAATATATTGATAAAAATTTTTTTTCATCAACAAATAATATATGAGATGATGTTTTTGTAAAATAATAATCAGTTATTGAATCAATTGAAAGTTTTAAATCAAGAACATTATTATTATTTAGTGTAAAAATTTTTAATGAACTAAAAAAATTTATTTCAAATTTGAATAATAATATACGGTCGTCCGGAAAGTCCATGCAACTCGTATTCTATGAAACCGTACGATAGCATGTGCTGCATTTATTCAATTAAAATGACCTTCAGTAGTAACTATACATTGCAAATTGCTTATACAATGAGAAACATTGAATAAATGCAGCACATGTTATTATACGTTTTCATACAATACGAGTTGCAATGACTTTTCGAACAAACGTATAATAAATATTATTTTACATACTTATCATTGTCTTTAATTGTTAAGAATTCATCTGAATGTATATTTAGTATTTGACCAACTGTTTGGCACGGAGCGAAAGATTCAGATAGAATCCGATAGGTTAACATTGTTGCATTATATTTATAAATATAATTACTATCCGAACAATACATAGTAATACCATCGAACCAATCTTTTATAAAATATAAAGAATATCTGTTAGTACAATTCCTTCAGGATTAAAATATGAAGCACAATGTAAATTTTCTTACCAATCACAGGGAGACTACTTTACTCTATATATTTTGGGACACATTTCTTTTATTTAATGCAACAAAAATGCAATAAGAAAGTAGTTCATATATTATAACGAGCCGTTATTCATACACAACATAAGTTGGTATATCAACAATATCTATGACGTAAGGAAGAAGGAAGTGTTGTTAAGGTATTTGTCACAGTCTGTGATGACTTGTGGCTATCTTCTATTATGACCTGTGACGCGGAGAGGAGGGGGGAAAGAGTAGGCAATAGCAAAGACATTTGTCACGGTCTGTCATGGTTTTTGACTAGCGTCTGTCACGGTTTGTGATGCGGGAGGAACCATATCGGCAAGATATTTGTCATGGTCCTTAATTAGCGTCTGTCATGCATGATTTTTGACGACCTTCGATTACTTTTGTCTCAATCTATGATGATCTTTGACTGACGTCTGTTATGGTCTCCAACTAGCGTCTGTCACGATTTGTGAAGCAGTGGTTCTAATCTTTTTATCCTTATACTTCAACATTCTTTTTAAATTGTGGTTCATAAAATCTTTATATATATGTTATGGCCGAAGTTAGAATTCAGCCCAATTCAGAATTTGTCCAGACGAAATTGGAATATTATTTTAATAAATCACAGAACTTAATGAAACACCAACAACTAGATCACAAGAGGCCACAAATGATGATGAGGATGAGGGAGAAGTCTCTGTAACAGTAAGGGAGATCTGGGTGAAGGTGAGACAAGAGAGTGAAAGGAAAGTGAAAAACCCCGCAAAACAGGAATCTTGCTCATATATTCACCCTCACCCAGACTCCCTCACCATTATCAAGACTTCCCCCTCACTCTTACTGTCGTTCGTGATCCTCTCGTGTTCTAATTGTTGATATTTCTTCAAGTTCTGTGATTAATTAAAATAATATTCCAATTTCGTCTGCACGAATTCTGAATTGGGCTGAATTCTAACTTCGGCCATAACATATATATATATGTTATTTTTCAGAAGAAAATTCACATACTTGCTCGAAATACACATTGATCGATAGATATATCAAGTTGAACATGAGTTAATTGTCGATAAATATGATTTTGCTGTTCTTTGTCATAATGCCATTCATAAATATCAATGATTTTCTTTGTTTTATTAATACAAGTTAAAAAATTAGTTTGATTTTCAAATTCTACTGCTGAATAATGATCATGTACTAAATCATATTGAATTAAATTTTGTGATGATAAGATTTGAAATGGTTTAAAAATATTTTCTTTATATAGAGGATGAAATATCATAAGAGATTTTGATGTTAACCATGCAATTGAATTACTTTGTGAAAGATAAATCACAGATATAGGTACAGAAATAAAATTAATATTATTAATAATTTTTTTTGAATTATTATTATCCTTATCATAGATAATTAATGAAGTATCGGAACAATTGAATGAATAATAAAATTCACTATAACCATCAAGAAGTATATGATGATTATAATTATTTATATTTTCATTAAATATTCGAATAGAATTAAATTGAAAATCTTTATCTAATATGAAATAAGAAATCATTGATTTTTCTTTTAAAGTTACTTTAATAATTGAATTTTTAAAAGTACATTCTTCAATAATATCATCATGAAAATGATATTTTGATATGAAAAGATTTTTTGAACAATCCCATAATTCTAATGAATTATTTGATGATGAAATAATAAGAATTATTTCAGCATTAATAAATGAAATTAATTTCTTACATGAGATTTGCATAGACATTTCGTTTGTTTGGCAATTCATTACTATCATTGATGAATTTGATGATAGACAACATACATACGGATATTTACATAAGCATGAAAGTAATTTTTCATTGACTTCAGTTTTTTTATATAATATATCAAAATGATTTACCATCAATAGACCGTAATAATGATGACAAAATACATATAATTTATCATTATTAGTTAAAATAAATAAATAAATTGAATCGATTATTAAAGAAATAATATTTGATATTGAAAATTTTGTTAAACATTGTTGTCGTTGTTCATTTGTTATTAATTGAAGTGGACAATGAATTAAACATTGTTCAAGTAAATTATATGTTAATGTAGGTAATTGATTTAAACATGGAAATAAACGATAAATTAATTCAAATGATAAATTATTTGGATATTGATCAAGTATTGATGATGATGTTTCAAATTGTTTTAAAAGAAATCGTAATTCACCGTTTGGATCATGAGCTCCAATGGAAAATTCATATAGTAAATTAGACATTTTATATTCACCGCAAAGAAGATATGCTGATAAAAAATCATAATTAAATACGGTCCATTCATGAACAAAATCATAACGATTTATATTGATATATAATTGATGTAGACGACGAAGATTATATTGATTTATTTTCTTTTTTTTTAAAGGTTTTTGTTCAGTTAGACAACGATTAACAGATATTACCATTGTTGATAATTTATATTTATTAACTAATTTCGGTGAATAACTCATGTCAAATGTTGTTTTATATTGATTAGAAAAATACTCTAGACGAATTTTTTCCATGACTTCTTTTTCTTTATTATCCATTATTATTTGTTTGACATTCATTGGTTGATAATATTGGAAACTACGATGATAACTATGAACAAACATGGAAAAAAATTTCTTTAGTTAAAGTTCTAACAATTGAATTGTTAACAGCAATAATACTTAAAATAAACCTATTTCAATACTGAGATATATTGATCTATCCAATAGAGTGACGATAATTTGAAAAAGACATTGGATTTGTATCATCTACGTGCTAGTAATATGAAATACTCATCGTCTAACGAGGGAACATTCCCAACTGTTAATCGCCGATCGAAGTGATATTTTGCCCATAAGCAGGACTCAATGAGACTAGGAAAAGCCTAAAAGGATTCGCTCCCATAGGCCTTCCTTCTGGAGTTATGACCATTTTACGAACTTTCCGGCTTAAGGCAAGCTATTCATAAAAAAGCCAAAAAGAAGGAATTGTCATCTGAAGTTTTGCTCATAAGTAGGTCTTATGATCTTTAGGACATCCTGAAAGCTTCAGGCAAAACGGATGGTTCCTTCTTGACATATTGAAAATTCAAAAAAACGATCATATATCACAAAAAAAGGTCATAAAAACGACTTTTCTTTAGTATTCTATATCTCAAGAAGGAACCATCCGTTTGCCTGAAGCTTTCAGGATGTCCTAAAGATCATAAGACCTACTTATGAGCAAAACTTCAGATGACAATTCCTTCTTTTTGGCTTTTTTATGAATAGCTTGCCTTAAGCCGGAAAGTTCGTAAAATGGTCATAACTCCAGAAGGAAGGCCTATNTGGTAGATTTGACAGTATACTTTTGATATTCAGATAGTCTAGGATGATTGATTTGTATGATTCACTTTTTGAAGTACACATAACTCTCGGATTTAAATCCGAAGTTTCCGCATTTATTTTTTATATTACTTCAGTTACATATCCAAAAAGGTTTACAAGATGTCATGTATAAAGAAAATTGGTAACGATAAAAAAAACCATAGAAGAAAAACGTCTGAAAACTTCAGAATAGACGCTCCAATATGAACTACAGCTATGGTAAAATTTTCAGGAAGATCGAACTTCAAAAAACTTCCTCTGAAAAACCAGTATCTAGAAACTCTTGTTGATGTGATATCTATTAAGAAGTTGTATTAACTAAACAGTTTAATTCTCGTTTCAAAAAAATAAATGGACTTCAAATTAAAAGGTAGATAATTAGTATTAAATGAATAGTATAATGTAATAAGAAAAAAAAACTTATTTTTTTTTAAATACATGATTGAAACAATATAAAAATTTGAATTCAGATATCTGAGACAATGAACAAGTACTATGTTTTCATCATTACTCGAGTATAGTTCTTTTTCTAATGATACTAATATAGTTTAATTTTGTATCCACTGAATAGAACTGATGACAGGCTTATTTTTTATCATCAGCTAAGAAGTAATCAATCGATTTTATCGACTATCGCAATTTAATATAGAAACAAGAAGATTTTCTGATTAAATAATTTCATATAATCATGTATGTGTATTGAAATAAAAAGTTTATTAATATACCAAAAAAATCGAAAAAACATACCAAATATTGATTTTCTGTCGTTTTGAATATATATGTTGTATTTTATCAGAGAAAAGAAAATGATTGGTTCTTTCGTAGATTTCGTACTTTAATTTAAAAAAAGTTTTTATGCATATTACTCGAAATTTCATTCAAGAAAATCATCACATATGATTTTCGATATAAAGTAATTATTTTATACTATCTATAGTGTGAGAAATTTCGAACAATGGTTCGTTTCACAATACAATACTTACATATGTATATTCAAACATTCATATTAAATATACTTACCAAAATCTAATTTAAATATCATTCCATATCATATGTTTTAAATGTTCATTCATCCAACAAATGATCTTTCAGCGTTTCTAATAATTCATTCACAACTCATTGACATAAGAAGGAAAATTCCTAATTGATAAATCGCCAATGAAACGAGACTGCGAATTATGTAAATATAAATGAGTTATCAATACTCTGAACAGAGTTTGTACCTTTTAGTTTATTTCTGCAGAAATATTGGACGTTTACAATATCTTTTAAATGGATGCAGGAAAACTGTAAAAACTGATTTTCGAATTGTGACTTGAAACTTTGCATACAAACAAGCTTTGGTTAGAGTAGTTGTTTTTTGTGAATATTTGAAGTCTTTTGATTTACCTCTATCCAAAAATAAGGACATCAAATCTGCTAGTTTATGTGAGTGATGTGTAAAAGACATGCTGCTACTCATTGTACCTTAAGACTAGCTAAAGTTTCAGAACGAAATTCGAACGTTAGTCTTTCGGTTACCGCAATATTCATTTAGAAACCACTGTAAAACTGCACTATCTCCACAGCAATAAACTAAAGGTTTTAACTCTTTTGAGAATATTCATTGCTCATTTGGTTCTGTGTAACACACTTAGTTCGAACTCAAAAGTGAGTACTCAGTTGAAGGATTTCGCTTGTTCGAAGCATCTGTAAAATAAAAATATGAATTGATACCATTACATAAAAAAATTGCCTTTATGAAGAAAACAGTAAAAATCATTTTTCTAAATAATATCCACGTTACTCAATACGAACTTCGACATCTCGAAAGAAAAAATTTATTATTGATAGTTATTATAATAATAATAATAACTACGATCTATTTTAAGAAACAATATCATTATGAGAATATTCCGTTGGAAAAAAATACGCCGAAAAAAAAATCTGATCCTATTCTCACACTCACGCATTTCTTTTATGCTATTGATTATAAAATTTTAAAAATATAGAGTAATTTTGCGAAGAATAAATAGCCTGTCTTTCATGCCATTAGCTTCAGTAGCATCGACGGAGAAAACTACAATGCTTATCACGGCACTCCTTTTTATTTTCGTTGGTAAGTTTGTTATTTCATTTAAAAATGCTTTGTTATTAAATCGATTTGTAAATAACAAAAAACAGGTCTGGTAAGTTCTCAAGCATGGAATAAAAATCATTGTGGCAAACGTCCATTGATACCTCGTAGTGATGATGATAAAATTGTTGGTGGTATACAATCGTTACGTGGTGACTGGCCATGGTCGGTAAGTATTTATTGTCATTTTAGTTTTCTTATGTATTAATTATTTTTTAATATTAATAGTGTTCTATGCGTTTTGGATCAGGTCACATTTGCGGTGGTTCGCTCATAAATGGTAAATGGATTGCAACTGCAGCACATTGTGTGTAAGTACAAAACTTGATGAATAAATTCTAATCATTAATTATTTTTGATTGAAAATGATATAGAGACACTCGATATGCTGCAAGTTCATACAAATGGCATTGTGGTTTACATGAACGAAACAAACAAGTAAGAAAATGATAAATAACTATATAAATAATAAAAATTAATTCATAGGATTCATGGAGTAGAGAATACGTATCACTCCAGTATATAGTACATCCAAACTATAATCCATCAACGACTGTAAATGATATTGCTCTATTTAGAATTAGTGTTAGTAGTTTCTTTTTTTATTTTCAATGATATGTTTAAAGAAAAAGAAAATACTTTAGACTACGGATATATCATTTGATAATTACGTAATGCCAGTTTGCTTTCCTGCTAAAACTGATACTTATGCAGGCAAAACATCATATGCTATAGGATGGGGTACATTATCTGCCGGTGGAAGTCTTGCTCCCTATCACATGGAAGTGGCAATGCCAGTTTTGACTGATACTAGATGTTCACAGAAACATTCTGGATACACCTTAGTTACAACAACTCAAATCTGTGCTGGTGACGGCGGCAATAAAGATACATGTCAAGGTGATTCAGGTGGTCCATTAGTTGTTAAGCATACTAATAATCTTTGGTATTTGGCTGGTTTGACATCATGGGTAAGTTTTTGTTTCATCTATGACTAAATAACATTCATTCATTAACTATAAGGGTGTTGGATGTGGTGGCGGTGGTGTTTATACTCGTCTTTCAGCGTTTCGTGATTGGGTTCTCAGTCATGTTTTAACTCTTCCAACTGGTTCTGGATAATCAGATTTGTGTCGTGAAATCTGTTTAATTGAAATTTAAACATGTAATAAATAACTGAGTAAATTTTATATTTCATCAAAATGATCAGTCACAATAAATATATATCAAACAATAATTGTCTTTCATAGCTCATTATTGATGTTGAAGTTGGTTGAAAGTTTTTTGTCTAAAGAAAATACTACTCTAGTCTAATGTTGAAAAGGATGAAGATTTTCGCAAACCTATTATGAACATGTTTTTGATTTAGTTTTGAAACAATGTTGAGCTAAAGAGTAGATTATGTTCATGATCGACTAGCTGATGAATTAATTATTATAGAAGAAGAAAACAAGAGTTTTATGCATTCTTTTTTGTTCTTTTATTAGCGTTGTTCCACTTTTGCCAGAATGAATCAATATTTCGAAATATTCGAAACAACTAACTTATTCAAAGAAGAATTGTTTTTGATAAATATTTATTTTTTTATTCTTTATCAGAAGTAGAAATTTGAGCTTTTTTTGCATTCTGGGAAATTTCCCGTGGAGAAAATATTTGTCGGTTAAATCTGTATATCGACTTGTTTTTGAAAGTGTTAGAAATTCGAAAATGAAGAAAAGAATAATAAAGTAAAGCGCGAAATCAATAAGAATACAAATGACTCTTGATAAGTATTGCTTATATATTTCTATTTATTTATTATTTTTTGTATTGCTAATTTAATACTCATGTCAAACACTATTAAAATTAGCAGTACGCTTTCATTTCAATAGTGACACCAACAACTAATTGTAAGTATCAAGTATGATGAATGATGTTAAACATGTAAAAACTATGGAGAAAAATTTAGGATCAGCTGATATATCCTGTTCTATCTTGCCGTTCTGAGCTCTAGGAGTAAGATAGAATAAAAATTTAAGTATCAACCTATCCTGTGCACATTTTTGTTTTAAATGAATGATTTTCTATGAAAACAATTTGGAACAAAGATAATCACTTTTCAATTGGTACTATTTTGATAAACTGAAAAAGAATGTTTTCTAGTCGCATTAAACTAATAATAAAATATAATGTATTGATGTAAGATTGTACCTTTATTCCGACGATGAATTTTGCCAAATTTGTAAGAAATTTATTTGTAGTTAATAAGAGTTTTTTGCTTTTTAAACAATTTCTAATATTTTTCTCAGTAACTATTGATATCGATGTACAATATATACTGATAACTTACACTAAAAATTAAATTAACACAATCTTTTTGTTTTGTATTCGAAAAGTATAAAATTTAACATTTATAGACTGACAAGAAATATGATTTTTTTATAGAATGTATATTGTAAAACATGATTTCAAAGGAATGTTGAAATATACGGGTAAAAATTATGATCTCTCTTTCACACAGACTATGACAGACGTTGTTGATATACCATAAAAGACTCTATATCAGTAACTCCTCCTTCTAAAATATGAACTACTTCTTGGTTGGAATTATGAACGATTAGGTAAAACGATGGTGAAGAAATATACCCCAAGATACATAGAAGAGAGCAATCTCTCTGTGATTAGCAACAACAGCTACATCGTGCTTCACATTTTAATCTCGCAGAGATTGCATTAACAGCTTTTTTTTTCTAATTTGTTCAAATAGATTAAATCATATCCTCAAATCATGTCAGAGATGGAACCGGTACCGGCTACCGGTCGGTCCAGTACTGGCCTAGATTTCGGATCGACCGGTCTAAATTCTCCACTTGCCTCCTTTGATCACTAAGATTAACCCAGCGTTGTAATTGGTTCTAATTGTATTACCGGTAGATCGGTATTTACTGGTTTCGACCGGCAAGGGCCGCGCGAAAGACCTACGATTTGGGAGGGGAGCGTGTACATCCCCAACTTCCGCGGCCCCTATCAATCGGTAGACCGGTGAAACTGGTATACCGGCTGGTTCGGTCTGATTTTTTTGGACAAGTACCGATCTGAAAAAACTAGATCGGTTCTATCTCTGAATCATGTTATTATTTCATATATGAATAGTTCGTAGCATGTTTCAGCAAATAAAGATTAACAACAACTTGTATGTAAATGAGACAGTAATTGAATAGTCATCGGAAACATAGATGATAGTTGTCATATTACTCATTTTATTTAATATCGAAGAAAAAAGAAATAAAGTATTCAGTGCCTCCTCCTTTGTTCAATCAAAGACTTATTGAATGTGAATTGTCGTTTCTCTGAAACAACGAAAGTAAAAATCAAGTACTTTAATTGAATTCAAGAGAATGAACGAATTAAAAAAAATTGTCTCAGTAGTAACTTATAGATGAGTGAATTGCAAGTTTTCTGTACGATTGAGATTTTACTGGTATATGTCTGATACATTTTGGTCTAGTTGATTCATACAAAACGTACGTTTTTATATGGTATTATTTTCTGTGCACTCCATACCAACGCCAAATTTCAGCTCTGCAACTCGTACCAGTGCGAATTTATGAGTCTTACCCTATGAAAAGTTCTATTTTATAGAGAGGTATACTAAAAAAAGAAATATATACATAAGAAAAAGTCCATTCTGTACAGCCTGAAATGTACTGTCAAATTATAGATTTTTTCGTATTTCGCTCTTTCTCTTTATATGCATATATGCTCTAAACACTTAATTAAAGATAAGTGTTCATTGTTGTGTAGAAAGACCTTATTTGTTAATCATTTCTCTATAATTACAAATGGAAGAAATGAAAATGTTCTTGAAAAAGACACCGTTGAACAGAAAACAACTTGATAAGAAACCTTCGTCCGAGCGACTTCCCTCCTCGTTGGAAAAAAATGGTCTTTTTTTAAAGTCTAAGTTTCGTTCACTTTGTAAAAAGGACTTTTTACGAATATCATGATCCATACATTTTGAACAACTCATCCATATTCGCTCAAATTTGTATAATCGACAAAATATTCATACGTATATCGCTTGTTGTTCTCGAAGAATTCACATTATACGATGAAATTTAGAAGAATCTGCTTTATGTGATGTTTCTAGTCTTCTCTATTGATCTATGTAAACTCTAACTTCGTACCAGCTTTTCTTCAAGAGTTACAATGCTTTTCCTAAGATCCTTGATTTTGGTAATTTGACCTTCAAGAGGTTAAAAAAGCGTTCCAGACATGAGTAATTCATCACGCTGACGTGAAGGGTGATGTTTATTTAAAGTTTGAAAGCAATCTAAGACTACTATTACAGTATTTTTGAAGGATTGAGAATCATCTCTTTTCAGTATAAAAATCGCAGTTTCGAAAATATGCCGATAGCGATTTCAAATCGCTTTGAAATTGAAAAACTAATATCACCATTCGATTCAACGCGATGACTTACTCTTGTTTAAAATGCTTTTGGAGTCTTCCAAGATTGTTTTGCCGAAATCAGAGCATCTCAGGAAAACCGTTATGACTCTTGAATGGAAACAGCTATGAAGTTGAAATTTACATAGAGATCGACGAAGAACATTTTTTTTTTCAATCGATTTTCTATATTAAACATTAAAATCTAATAGAAAATGACTTCAGTTTCGTTGCCAAAATTTTCATTAACAACTCACCTAATTGATCAATTGTTGACCAATCAGATTTCGACTTATTTCGATGAATAAATATGAGTGTTCTTTCTTGAAAGGTAAAAACTCCAAATCTCTTCGTCATGCTTTACAAAAGTTATTCAAAAAATAACCATCGGCATTGTTGTTTAAAGTGGATAATAAATAGAGTTCGAGTGGACTACTACAGATTGTAGAACGACACTTCCCACGTGACATTTCAAGCACTCAATAGTCAATATGAGTTGTATTTTATACATCATTCAAATCGTTCTATTTCAGAAAGTCACTCTACATTTATTAGATATGTCAATTCTAATTTACAAAATAATTTTACCACGTAAAGCTCATGTAAGCTGTAATTGATTTTTACATTAAAAATCATGTTTTGTACATTACACTTACACTGAAGTCATACATATGTCAATTAATATGTAGAAAAATTTTTGGAAATCTTTTACTATGTATCATAAGCATAGACTACGAGAAAATGTACTACTCAAAAATCATTCAGGTCTACTTTCAATTTTTCGGGTCAATTGTGCCAAAAATTTGCAATTCACTCATATATACAGAAAATTAATTTGAAACTGAAATAACATAAAACTTCATTATTTTCTTGTTGTTGGTTACAAAAATGAACGAAATAGTAATAAAATTACTCTATTTTTGTACTATAAAAACAAAAATCAACTACACTTTCTGCTATGTGTTTTTATATTAAGTATGATATTACCAATTTTAAAATGCACTTATATATAATGATGAAAAACAAACCAGTAAATTCGTCTCGATTGCATAATGGAGAAGTTTTCTATTACATTTTCAAATGCAACAAAAAATGTTTTTCGATATTCAATGAAAATAAATTACATTCTTCTATACATGAATTGGTGTTATTTTTCTTTTCATAATATAGCATCCGTCTAGCTGCTTTCTCTGAAATAATTCACTGCTGCCAATCATGTTCATCATAATAATCATGAAAAAAAAAAAAAAAACGAAATAGAAGACAAAAGTAAAGTAGAGGAGGCCGACGGCATTTACACTTTCGATCAGGATAGACAAAAAGAAAAAAAAAAAAAAGAGAGAGAGAGAGAAAAAGAACAAGAATGAGTACAGATAATGAGAGAAAGATAGAAGAAAGATAAACGACACGACGTGCAGCTGCTTTTGGCTGTTGCGCATGTATGTGTGATTTATTCTACACGTTTAATCATTGTTACTCATTTTCGGCAAGTCTAAAACAAAAAAGAAACGCGAAAATAATAAAGATGACACTATATAGAATAAAAAACTAGATAAATGATTTAATGTCCATCACCAACAGAAAAAGCAATAAAGAAAAAAAAAGCACAAAGCTGAGTCTTGGCAGTTAGTTAAGAATGATATTGTATGGCTGTATCTCTCTACTTTTTCTTATCATTCATGTTCATTTGATGA